CCCTGCTGCTGGAGTCGTTTGTTTGTTGAAGCTGCTTGGAGCTCAGGGGGAAGGTGCTAATTAGCAGCGTAGGAAATTTCAGCTGTCAAATTTAATTACATCAGCAGAGGGCTGACAGCACCACAGCAGGAGAGCAGTGCGGAGGGCTGCAGGTCGTCGTGGCAGCAGGAGGGCGGCCCTGCAGCAGCAGGCAGAGCAAAGCAGCTCTGTCCCTCAGCAGGCGGCTGCCGCCTGTGCCAGCACAGCCACACCAACGCTGCGCAGGTAATGGTGGGGCTGGCGCTCAGCCCTGTTCCCTGCCCCCTTCTTGACACAGCGCTGATGTGGGTGCAGGCACAGAGGCCTGCCCTGCAGCCTCCAGGACAGCAGGGACACAGCAGCACGAGCTGGAGACCAGGAGGGAACCCGTCCCTCTCTGGATGAGCTGCAGCTCCGCACTGCCAAACCACTTCCCAGATAATGAGCCTCTGTGCGGCGCAGCCTCAGGCCGCCCAGCCACTGCTTATAGGGCTATTTCTAAACACCGCCTGCCTGCTCCAAACCTCAGCCTTGCTCGGTGCCAAGAGGAGCTCAGGGCCGCCCTGCTCAGTGCAGGATCCAAATCTGCAGCACAGCGAGAGGAGGGAGGAGGCCTCCCTGCTCCAGAGCAGCACGGTGCTCCGGGGGAATGCGGGCTGCAGGTGCTGGGAGCTCCTTGCAGTACCTGAGCCCTGCTTTAGCACGGAACCCCCAGCACAGCACCAGGTGCCTCCCCAGCACGGCTCCTCCCTGCGGCAGGGGACTCAGATGAGCACGGAGCGCTCCTACCTGCTCTTGTCTGCCGGTGTTTGGGGGTGGCAAAGCGGTCCCACTGAGCAACAATGATGGCAGAGATGCCCAGGACGCAGACAATGGAGAGGTAGATGAGTCTTGGCTGCGGGGAGCAGTAGAACGAATAGTAGAGCCAGGGGACGAAGCTCCCCATGATCAGCAGTGCAATTCCTGAATAATCCAACCTGCAGCCAGGGTGCAAGGAGAGATACATGCGGGTGAGCCCCAAACCTGCCCCCTCCTGCATCCTATTTGGCACTTGGTGCCATCCCACTGCCTGCACTCAAACAGAATCACCACCACCACCGAGCAGCCACGACCCCACGAGAAAAACTGCATTGGACAACAGATTTGGGTGTCACCAGTGCAATGAGAAACAGGAGAAAGGACCTGGGGCTTACAAGGATGCAAAAAGAGCTGGCAGAGCGCAATGAACAGCAGCTTGCTGCATCTGCAGGAGCAGCACGGAGATGCTGTACACTCAAACCACCACGACGAGCGGTGGGCATTAGCCCTGGTGCATATGGATTTGATTGTCCTCCCCTGCAAAGTGCTTTCATCTATCGATCCAGGAACAATTTCACCACCAAAACGCAGTCGGCTGCATTTCCCACCGCCACAGCAGCCTTGCAGGAACCCTCCCCAGTACACAAGGACATTCCTGCTCAGGGCAGGCAGCACAGTTTGTTCCAGACACAAGCGCCCTTGGGATCTGGTGTTTGTGCATAGGAGATTGGCAGGATTTCCCAGCAAGCAGCACCCAAGTAAATGCCTTTGATAGACTTCTGTGAGCAAGATCTCTTTTGAAAGCCTTGCTGCTGCTCTCCCTGTGCCATAAAGGCTGATGTGAACTTAAAGAGCAACACTGACCTCAGAGACGAGCACTGGCCACTGCCCAGTGTTTCCACATTGCCAGGAATCCTGTTTGTTTTGCTTTTCAATTTGGTTTCAGTTCAAATTGGATCCAACCCAGAGTTTTTCAAAACATCCCAGTAAACTGGAAAACCCACGGCTGCCCAGTGAGACCAGGACCGTTCCTCACTGTGCTGCTCCAGGAGGCACTGAGGCCATTCTCCAGGGAGATCCCACAGGGTCCCAGTCCTCATAGAGCCCCCATTCCCTGAGGGCCTCAGAGCTGCTGCCAGACGCAAGGTGCTGAGGGATGGCACCCAAACCCTGCTGCTTGTGAGCTGCACACTGCATGAACGCTGCCTTCCCCTAAGAACAAAATCCCAGTGAATGCGAATCGGAGAGGAAGTGCCGTGAGAAGTCAGAACATCCTGAGACCACACAACCACCCCTAGGGTTAGGACTCACTTTGAAAAAGTCCGTGAGACCTTCTCTGAGTGACAGTAGACAGTGTGGAAAAGCCAGGAGAAGCTGAGGCACAGCACCGCCCCGAGGAAGAACATCCCGAACACAACCTTCTCCTGGAGAGGAGCCATGAAGTACATGTTGGGCCGCAGCATGGTCAGGATTCCCAAGCAGAGGAACAACACAAAACCTGCAGAAAACACAACAGACGGGCCGTCGGGCAGAGGCACAGCCAGCATCGAGTGATGGATGAACGCCCAGACAGGCAGAGCTCAATGGCAGGGAGGTGAGAAGGGACACGAGAGAGAGAGAGGCCTGCATGGCTGCCGCAGAATCAGTGCCTCGGGGTCTCTCCCTTACAAGCACGATGCCTCCTTAGTACAGCAAAGAGCCAGGAGAATCCCAGGCACGGCTGTGCCCTGCAAGGCAGAGCCTGCGCACGCCCTGTGTTTCAAGGGAAGGTTTTACAGGACGCTGTTTGGCCCAGGACACATTTCTCCAACCCAGGAGTAAAACAGCTCGCCCACAGTGCTCAAACGCTGTGCAGTGGGAGCAATCTGGCCACAGCACAGCCAGCTCTTTGAAGACCCTGAGCCTCTGAGTCTCCATGCAGGCCAGAACTCTGCAGAATGCTGGCCAAGGCCCTCCTGCGCTCTGAGCCCATCCAATGGGGCCATCAGCTCTTGAAAAGCGTGAACACCACCGAGCTCAGGCCTCAGTGCTGCTGCGAGGAGCTGTCCTGTTCTCCCTTCACTCAGAGGCCCAGCAGCTCCAGGAGCTCCCAGCCACCAGCAACTGAGCTGCCTACACGTGCAGAGCCAGAGGGGCACATGATCCTAAAAGGAAGGCGGTGGGCACAGAGAGGAGGTCAAATCAGTCCCTTGGAGCAAACCTGCCCTTCAGAGGCAGCCCCTTGCCTTCACACAGGGGCAGAGCACACCTCAGCCCTACGGAAGCGCTGCGCAGCCCCGCAGCCCCCCGGTCACCTAACAAGTGAGTCCAGATGTTGCCCGTCTCGGTGTGTATTCGGAAGATGCTCTTGAAGCAGGCTCGGAAGGACGGCATCGGAGGCCGGTGCCCGTGCAGGAGGTAATCGTTGTCCTTCAGCCAGTCGGGCAGCACATCGTAGGGGATCACACGCCAGCGCCCTTCCCACACCTGCAACACAGCGACTCGTGTTGGTGGCACCAGCAGTGAGGCAGCCCAAAGGCTTGAATGAATCACCCTGGGAGAACACAGAACAAAACCTGCGGGTCTTGCCTACGGCCAGGGCTGAAAGGCTCTGAAACTCTCCTCTGGGAGAGGAACTTCGGCTTTCGCAACACCGCGTGGAATCCCTTACACCACCCACATCCTGCAGAGCACTTCCACATCCCCTAAGGAGCTGGAGACAATTCAGGGCATTTAACCCTTCAGCACACTGAGCGTCCGCTCCCAGCACTGCAGAATTCCCTTCCATTTTAGTCACACAACAGGAAGCCTGGCTGGCCACAGAGCTGTGCTGGCTCTCGTGCATTTGCCAATCATGGTGACCACGAGCACAAGTGCTGAGCAGAGGCACCCAGCAAACCAGCGGCAGCATTTGAGCTCCCAGGCCCAGACAGCGATGCTGGCGCTGCCCCTGAAGCCCAGCAGGGCTGAGCACAGCCTCCAGCTGCCCCCTGGGATCCCAGGAAGCTCCCACACCTTATACACAAACTCTTCCATCTTCTCCATAGCGTGATGAGCCTGCAGAGGCAGAGTCAGCACACGAACCACCTCCTCCTCTTCCTCACGGGCCACTGGGCACGGCGGGTCTTCAGCCTAGAGGGAGAAACACCAGAGGGAACCAACCCTGCCCACAGCACTGCAACCATTCCAGGCACACAGAGCACCTGGGGTTTCATCCCTTCCCGAGGGGTCGGACAGAACCCACCGGTCACCACCAGCACTTATGCAACTTGCTCCCGCCTCAACCATCTCAGGCAGGCTAATCCCAGACTGATCCTAGTTTAAAGGTGGGATTACCACGAGGGATTTTCATCCTTACAACCAAAGCTGGAAGAGCCCCTGGGCCCAGCCGGGTTGTCCTGGAACCGGGTGCCCCCGGAGCACATGGCCCGGCCCGGTCGCCCCATCCTTTGCCATTAGCAGCTTTGGGAGCTGAGCGCACCCTGCAGGGGCAGCACAGCTCAGCTGGCAGCATAAGAGCTAAAACACGTTTTTGGGCCAAGCTCTCAGACCACAGGACCGATCACCGTTCGATTATCAGAGAACCACGGAGTCCTCAAGACTGGAAGGACCCGCAGCCCCCCCCAGTGCCACATCTCGGCGCTTCCCAACTCCTCCGTGCAGCCGGGCGACGCATCGCCGCTATTCGGGCGCGATTTCTCCTCAAGCCCAACCCGCCCCTCCCCGCTCCACCCGCCCTCGGGATAACGGGCAAACTTTTGGTTAACCCCGAAGCACCGGGCCCACTCCGGACCGACCCCCGGTGCCGGGCGCCTTACGCTGGCGGTTCCGGCCGCTCCCTGCTCGCCCTTCTCCTCCAGCAGCGGCCCCAGCTCCGCCAGCTCCAGGTGGGCTCTGTCCCGCCCTGCGGCTGCCAGCCCGTTGCCCTGCGCGGCGGCGGCGGCTTTCCGGGACGCCATGGCGGCGGCGGCGGCGTTCCTGGGGTCCCTCCGCGTCCTTGTGCCGCCGCGCTGGGGAGGGAGGAAGAGCAGAGTCAACGGCACCGGGCTCAGGCCGACACCGGAGCTGAGAGCTGCGGAACCGGGCCGGAACCGCGCCCCCTGTCCGCCCCGCAGGCAGCGCCGCACTCACCGGCCGCTACATCCCGCGCAGGGCGGCGGCGGCGGCACCGGAAGCGACGCTAAGGGAACGGGCCGCTTCCGGCCTCTAAGCCCCACCCCGACTGGGGCCTCGATGCGCTCGCGCTATGATTGGTCGAATCTGCTGCCCGTCTCTCTCCGCCCAGACACGGCTGCCCGCTGTGATTGGCCGAGCTGCACAGCTGATGGAAGACGCTCTAGCGCGGCGGCGCCATCTCGTTAGCCGAGCGCTCGGCTGCCCCTGCAGGCATGGAGGGAACCGGGGGCGGCGATAACCGGGAGCCGCGTGCAGGAGGGGGCGCACCGGGGAGCCGCGGAGGAGAGCAGCGGGCATCCAGAAAGCGAGGTGTGAGCGCTGGTGTTCCTCCGATGGTGGCAGTGCCGCTCCGTTACCGCACCAACACGGCGTGGAGGGAATCCACGGACGGGCCTTGTCCGTCTGTCCCTTGTCCCGCTGTCTGTCCATCCCAGCATGCTGGAACTGCTGGCTGCCGTGTGGCCGAGCTCCAAAAGGCATCGAGGCGTTCCCTGCCGTGTGCGGGCAACAATAACTGATGCCCAGGTTGCCCCTGCCCGGTGGCCGCCGGCTCGTCTTTCCGTCCATCAAGGACAGCTTTAATTACCCCCGGAGTCTCCCCGCTGCCGGATCCGGTTCCCATCAATGATTCATGCCCTGCTGTGGGAAGGGGTTCCTCGGTTGCTGGACTGAGACCGGGGGGATTTTCCGACCTCTCCGGCATTAAACTGGTGCGGACGGCCCTGGTGGCGGTTGGAGGTGCACAGGGTGCCCCGTGGGGTGAGTGATGGGGTTTGGGAGCACAGTGTGGGAAAGCTTTGGGGGCAGAGGCAGCCTGTAGGTCTTGGGTCTCTGGATGTCACCCACTGCAGCCCAATGGGGGTCAGGGACCCATCGGGCTCTGGGGAAGGGCAGAATTCCTTCCACATGTGCATCCCAGCTCCCTGTGGCTGCTGCCCCGTGGATGGAACGCTTTGTCACACCCCACATCTGATCCAGCAGCACAGGGAGGTGTGCCAGCAGCCAGCTTCCCCTGGCAGTTCTGGTCCCCCCATCCCTTCTGTGGCAGTATTCTGAGGAGCAGCTCGTCCTCCTGGGGCTGACGGGGGCCGAAGCTGAGCTCTCCCCTCTGCAGGGACAAACACAACTGCCTGCAGAGCCCTGAGGTCCCCATGGGTGTCCTGAGCTGCATGAAGTACCTGATGTTCATCTTCAACGTGCTGGTGTTTGTGAGTCCCGCTGGGGATGGAGGGGTGCAGGGCGCTGAGCCACGAAGCCCAGCGGTGCCGTCCCTGCAGAGCTGGGATGTGATGCTCAGGGTGGCCCCTGTCCAAGGGAGGGGACCCCAGCACTGCGCCCACGAGGTGCCCTGTGACCCTGCTGTGTCCCACAGGCCGGGGGGATCTGCCTGGTGAGCGTGGGGGTCTGGGTGGCTGTGGACCCGGCTGGTTTCCAGGACATTGTGGCTGCCAAGCCTGTGCTGAGTGTGGGCGCCTACCTGCTGCTGGCTGTGGGCATCGCCCTCTCGCTGCTGGGCTTCCTGGGCTGCTGTGGGGCGCTGCGCCGGAGCCGGCCGCTGCTGCTGGTGGTGAGTGAGGGGCAACTGGGATACAGGGAGCTGTGGGATGCAGGATGTCCCTAGAGGAACCAGAGTCCCCATCCTGGCACCATCAGCCTCCAACAATCTCCCCAGTCCAGTCTCCACCTTCTGAGACTTGGAATTTAAAGCCTAGAACATTCTGTAAAGCACCAGGTGGACTCTTCTCTTTTCTCTCTCTTTTCTTTCTTTTTTCCCTCTTACTGTAGGCTCGTCCCACATGGCATTTCTGATCCTTTTCCTTCAGTTTTGAGGGCCAGAAACCCTTTTTTTGAGCGCAGGCACCATATATCTAGATATATCTTTGATATCTTTGATGTATCTTTGCTATAAAGATATCTTTGCCTTCCCCAGCCCCTGTCATGTTCTGCCTTACAGCTGTAAAGATGCTGTGTCTGTCCCCATGCACCACATGCTCATTTCCTGTCCCCCTGTCCCTGTGCATGAGCAGGGAGGGTGGCAGAGGAGGGGAGGAGCAGCAGGAGCAAGCTGTATATGGGCTGAGGATGATGTCTGACCTTTCTGTCCTGCTGCCTTCCAGTTCTTCGTCCTCGTGAGCCTTGTCTTTGTCACACAGCTCGTCGGGGCTGTGCTCTTCCTGGCACACTGGAAGCAGGTACTGTCCAGCTGACGGCTCTGGGTGGGTGAGGTGGCTGTGTGGTGTCCCTGTCCCCATACCTGGTACCTGACCCCAGGTGCTCACAGGTGGCACTGGTCCCACAGATCCGGCCAGAGCTCTTCCTGTTAGAGCTGCGAAGGAATTACTGCGGGGATGAGGGCGCTGAGGTCTTCTCCGTGGCTTGGAATACCCTCATGGTGACAGTGAGTGGCCAGGAGGCCCCTGCTGAGGTGTGGGACACCCATGGGTGCTGCTCAGGGTGACCCTGACCACGAGGGTGGTTCTTAAGGACCACAGGACTCACGCTGGGCTGTTTCCCCGCTGAGCAAAGTCCCTTCATTTCGACAGTGCGTTGACGGCGTTTCCCTTCCATTTCAGTTCTCCTGCTGTGGTGTTTTAGGACCTGAAGATTTTGGGAACGGCTCCCACTTTCAGGAGCTGCACCCTGGGACGCCCTGGCCGCAGGCGTGCTGTGCCCGGGATGGGCTCCTGCAGGCAGGAGAGCTGCTGAGCTGGGAGCAGTGCCAGGAAAGGAACCCTGGCTACATCCACGAGCAGGTAGGGCTACATGGGCAGCTGCTGCCTGGAGCCTGGGGCGCTGCTGCTGCGCTGTGGTTCTGTGCAGAGGTGACTCCCCAGGTCTCGCGCTGCCCCGCCGTGATGCCCCGACTTGTCCCAACCTCCCTGTCCCTCGGTCTGTCTCTGAGCTCCCTGCAGCCCTGTGAAGCACAAGGAATGCCTCCATCGTCTCCCCTCCTGCCCAGGGCTGCTTCCCCACCTTCAGCAAGACCTTGCAGAAGTACATCTCTGTCCCCGGGGTGTGCAGCTTGGCCGTGCTGGGCATCGAGGTACTGAGCAGAGCTGGAGGGGACGAGGCAGGCTGTGGGTCGCCTCATTTGGGTGCTGTTTGCTGGTAGGGGAAGGAATGGTGCTTTGTGTGTTCTGGGACCACGGATGGGTTTGGGCTGCCCCCCCCCAAGGCCTCTCTTTGGTACAACCACCCCCACAGAGCAGGTCTGTCTCAGGGGTGCAAAGGCAACCTGCCGCCCTGCGTGGGTGAGGCGGGTGGAAGGACTGAGGGAGCGAGCTCTGTTTTGCTCCTGAAGGCCTGGAGAGGAGAAGCATTGCTCAGCAGTTCCCCCTGCGCAGCACAGGGCAGCCCCTCGCAGGGCACTGGTGCCTGGCTGCACCAGGAGCAGAGCACAGAGGTCCTTCAGCCTCATTCTGCACCAAGGCGCTGCTCTGGCACAGCTGACCTGTTCCCCCCTCCTCCTTCCGTTCCAGATCTTCGCTATGTTCTTCGCCTTTTGCCTTTACTACAACTTTGACTGATGCTGGGAGCAGCTCTCCAGGCCACTGGCAGCGCAGCAGAGATGAGCCAGATGCCTTGGGAACAGCAGCAGGCAAGGACGCTCTGTTTTCTTGCACATCTCAGCCCAGCTGTGCAGATCAGTCGCCTTGCTGAGCGCTGCGTCTGCCCCAGCGCGTGGGTAAGGACGAGGTGGCTCATTATCCTGGAGCAGGGACAGGGCTCAGGTTCAAATCTTTGCACCCATCTACGCAGACGTGGAGGCCAAGCATCAGATTTGCTCCTGCTGCCAGGCAAACAGCTGTGACAGCACGGAGCCCTGCCTCTGCAACCTCCTGAGCTGCTCTACCACCAGGACGTCTGCATCCTCCCCCAGCTCTGTTCCACCACCCCTCGCTGCCCCCCTCCACCCTTCTGGGCCCTTTTTCTCCTTCCTCAGCCCTTCCCTCTCTGCTGCTCTTTTTCTCTGTGCAGCTCCTGGAGATGCAGCCCAGCTGTGTTAAATGGTGTTAATGGTTAAATGATCTGCAGATGGAACCTAAGAGCTGGCTCTCTGGCAGCCTTACAAGCCTTTGCTTCAGGATATTTGGAAGAGCCCAAGCAAACTAGAAAAAAAAAAAAAAAAAGCAAATTAAAGCTTTATATTTTATTTATATAATTTCTCAACAAACAAACGAATCAACTCCTAGGAAACAGAAATAATAAAGCCTGCTTCTATTACATATTAAAATATTTACTCATGTAAAGAAAAAAGGACCCAGCAAAAGCAAAGCTGGCAGCCACATCAGGAACAAAAGTCACTCAGGGATCCAGGCGAGGTTTCTTCTCCTTCTTGCTGGCAGTGCTCCCTTTTCTTTTTTGTGTGACAGATTCATTGGTGGCTTTTGTTTCATTCTGGTTTGTTTTCTCCTCCAAAGCCTCCAAAGAAATAAAAAGTAACAGCTGTGAATAATTTAGTTTTATGTAATTAGCACTGCTGTGTTAATTCCCATCTCTGTGTGATTAGAAAGCCTTCCCCCTCCTGGAAAGGATGCTGTGCAAATCAGGTACGGGGTGGAAAGCACTCAGGTAACAGAGACAGCCCAAATGTAATTGATTCTTTGGAACAGGTTTTGATCTGCTTCAATGCAGTTTACTGCCATGCTCCTCATCTGTGAGGTGGATCAGGATGTGGAACAGAGGCAGGAAAATACAAAGTGTGGCAGCAGGAAGGTTGTGCTCCACCAGCAGCTGGGGAGAGCGATCAGCTGCAGAGCTCTCCTGACGTGGAGGAGAAGCTGAGCACGAGGCACTGCCACAGCAGGTCGTGCAGTTTGGGCAGAGCTGAGGCAGAACGAAGGGGGGGATCTCAGGATTCCATCAGTGCTGCTCATCCCACAAACTTCCTGGGAAGCTGCAACCGAGTGCCTCATTGCCTCATTTCCATGGGGGGAGCAATCATTGTTCCCTGCACCTCCTCTCCCCCTCCAAGCTGTGGGCACGGAAGGTGAGGAGCACCCACACAGCTGGAAAAGGAAAGCCCATGTCTTACCCTCTTCTGTGGGCTTGCGTATTTCTCAGTCCACTCCTTGGCGTTGATCAAGAACAGCTGCTTGTTGTACTTGTACTCTGAGGACTAAACACAATGAGGAAGCCTTGGCCTCATACGGACACTGAGAAGCTCAGGCTGAGCACTGGGGGTTTATGAACTCCCTTCAGAGTCCTGGCTGAAGGACTCCTGGTGCCAGAGCCAAACTGCCATGCACACACCACACAAATCACACCATTCTGCTGCTCGCTTCAGTTTGCGTGAGCCAAGGCACCGCTGCTCCCCACCCCATCCCACAGCTCCCAAAGCCTCAGAGGAGCCCACGTACTACGTCTGCCATGAGGGGGTCATCGGGGTTGGGCTCCGCCATCAGCAGCTGAATGGAGGTCAGCAGCGTGGAGATGTTCAAGGAGGGCCTCCATGCACCCTGCAGGAGGAGAGGGGAGAGAAGCAGCTGAGAGGAAAACCCTGAGGATGCCTGGAGGAAACTCGGGGCTCAGAGCCCCACGGTTTGCTCTCAGCACGCAGGCTGAGGCCTCTGTGGGGGAGCTGACGGAGCCCTGGGCTGTGCCTCAGCTGGGGCGGCCCATTTTCAGAGGGCTGCCTTTCCACCACAATCCTTAAAGCCTTGGAAGCTTATATGGAGCAAAGAAGGTCGTGTTCTAATCTCTAAACAAAGGAGAGGCCACACAAAAACTCTACTGCTGCGCTCCTGCGTAAATAAGTCAGTAGCAAACAGACATTCAATCAGGCTTTTACAAGAAAAAGATAAGGAGCTCATTATCCTCCTCAGGCTCACTTACTGCTCCCAAGCAGCGCTCTCTTACCTTTGGTGGTAACTTAAGAACATCCAGACAAATCCTTCCAGCAGAGTCGATGTTAGGATGGTAGATAGGGGTCAGAAATCGAATCTTCGGGGGCTCAAATGGGTACCTTTAAGGGATCAGCATTGAGAAACAAAACTGTATTTGTACCCCAGTCGTTTTGTCACCCAAGTAGCGCCACAAATCCCTCGCAGTTACTGAGTGACATCCTCTCCCTGTAATCCTGGGACGAAGCAGAGCTTTGCTTGGCCAGCACTTCCCTGCTTCTCCCACAGAGAAGCAAACAGCAGGAAGCTTTGCACTCAGAACAAGCTGCTCTCCAGGGAGCTTTGGGACAACCGGTGCAGAAATCTTGTTACAGCACCTGCAGGTCATTCACCACACATCTCGGGATGCCCAGCAAGGAGTGCACCGTTCAGCCAGCAGGAATAACAACTACATGGCATAAGTGAAGGCTCTCACCTGAAGATAACCACATTCTGCACGGGGAGGCTGAAGGAAAGGCCTCATATCAAATGTATTGACTTACCATGGAGAGGAACACCACAGCAGCAGGACATCATTGCTCGCTTACCTTTCAGGAACAACGATCTCCAGGTCGAAAATCCCTTTCTCATAGGGTGTCTCTGCAGCTCCTATAATTTCTTTAAAAACAAAACAATACTGGAGCATAAATACATTCAAAACCACAGGCATTCATCCAACCATCCCCCTGCGCACCCACAGCTCTGTAACAAACAACCCTCAGAGTTGGAGAGGACCTCTGAGGTCCCCGCATCCAACCCCACAGCACTGCGTGCACAGATCCTCACTGCCAAACCTCCGGGGACGGTGACCCCCTAACCCTAACCCTAACTTCCCCCCCCCCCCCCGGCTCTCCCCCCACCTACGTGCCCGCAGTTCATCCAGCCGCGTTCCGCTCTGCCAGCAGCTGACGCCGGGCGGCGGCTCCGCGCTCAGCATTGCGAGCTCCCTGCTCAGCCGCGATGCTCTCTGCATTGTGGCTCTTCTTCAGCCGCCCTTAAGGAACGCGGAGGAAGGTTTGGGTTGGGAGAAGCTTTAAGGACCACCTCGTTCCGACCCCCAGCTGTGGGGCACTCGGTGACGCGCTGTCACACCATGCCCAGCTCCCACCCCCCCCAATGGGGCAGGGCCCCCTCACCCCACTCACCCTGCATTGGGGTCCTTTGGCTTCACCCTCCCCCCCCCCCCCCCAGGCCGACCTCAATGGCCGACCCCCCCATAACTGCTGCCCATGTAACCCCACGCGCGCCCCAACGCCTCCCGCCCGCCCCCCACTAAACCCAATGACCCCCATCAAGCGAGGGCCGCCCCCTCCCAGCCGATCGCCCCCCACTCACCCTCCCCAGGACCCTTCGCGCCCGCCGCCCCTTCGCCCCGCTCACCACAGCGTTCACCGCGAGGGGCGGGACTTCCGCTGTAGCCTAGCAACGGGAGGAGACGCTGACGATTAGCTCCGCCCCCTACCGTAGACACGAACGCTGATTGGGCGCCGCCTAGCTCCTCCTCCTTAGCGGCGGCATTTCGAATCCGAAAGGGGAGGCGCGCGACTATTGGTGGAGATCTGCTGGCGGGAAATAAGCCACGCCCCCGCGAGGAGGGAAAAATCGCGCAATGGGGGCCTGGCTTACAGAAACCACGCCCACAGCGCGGGGCTCCGGGTCGGGTCGGGTCGGGTCGGGTCGGGTCGGCAGGGGTCGTGCTGTGTCCCGATGTCCCACCCCGCTCCCCGCCTCCATGGGAGCTCCGCAGGGCGGGCCCTGCCAGCCCCCGGTGCCCCCCCGCTGTCCATTGCATAAGCGGCCCCGTGACCTAAAGTCGAATAGCGCTGCGTGTCACCCCAGGGCCAGGCGGGGAAACTGGGGCAGCGGGGCCCGAGGAGGACGAAGACGAGGAGGAGGGAGGTGACCACCGCGTCTCCGAGCGGGGAGGTAACGCGGGGCCCCGGGGGCGGTGTTGTGTCTCTCCCGAGGTGTCCTTTTGGTGACGGTTCCGCTGCACAGCCCCGAGGTGCGCAGGGCTGTGTGCGTGCAGCGCTGTGCCGTTGCGCTGTTGTCGCGCTCTCAGTGCAGAGGGAGCAGCGGGGAGGAGCGCTGTGCGTTGGCTCCGTGGGGTGACGACAGCCCCAGGTCCTCAGACCCAAAATTTCGCTTCTATCTATCGGGGTACCCGTGCAAATAGCACAAAGAAATGAAGTTTTGTAGCTGAGAAGTTGCTCCGTCAACACGTGCGATTGTGCTGCTTGCAGCTGTTGGAATTGCCATGAAAACAAACAGGAGGCATTACTTTCGGAGCAGCCAACTCGTGAAATGTAGAAACGTGATTCCATGGGGGACCTCGGGCACAGTGCAGGGACCCGACCTGGCTTTGAGCAGAGGAGCACCTTGAAAAAAGGCACCTCGTTAATTAGCGTTAATTACCGTTCAGCCCAATCTGCAACAGGGCAGAGCTCAAGGGACAGCAACGCCCATCAGCCGACTCTGATGATAACTTGACTCATCAGAACTTGGTGATTTTTAATTAGCAAACTCAGGCTTGTGTCGTTTCACAAAAAGGGATGGCTGAACGCATTGAGGTGTGGAGGGCACCCATGGGTTGTGATGTTCATCCCTACATAAAGCTCCCGGAAAGGAGAACACAACCAGCAATGTGTCTTTAACTCTTGGTGATCCCTGTGGGTCCCTTCCAGCTTGGGGTATTCTATAGTAATTAGTGATGTGTGTTTGATTGGTGCTTTTGCTCTTCTGGCCATGAGAGGGCAATATCTGAGCAATAATCACTGCACAAACGCATGGATTTCCAAACCATCCCACCATACTGGCTGCCCACGTTCCTTGAGCCCCTCCAGGGATGGTGATCCCACCGGGCAGCCCATGCCAGTGCCTGACTGCTCTTTCAGAGAAGGAATTTCTCCTAATATCTGATCCAAACCTGAAGATGGGGCCGTGGTGCTCAGAGCAGCCCTTGCAGACTCCCTGCTCTGCACACTACACGTGATTCCGTGCCCCACGTGCCAGCTGGGTGCTCCCCATTCGTTGGCACTTGGCTTTTCCTGTTCTTCCGTGGCGTGCAGTCGGTGCTGGGCTCCTTCCTGGTGCTCTCCGAGAGCTTCTCAGTGCCTGTGAGTTTGTGGGTTTGGGTCTGTGGGGCGCTCAGTGGGCTGTGTTATAGCTGGGGCTGCGCTGGGTGCATCTTGGCAATGCCAAAGTGTGCTTTTGGGCACGGCGTGAGGTTGGCAGAGCTGCGTCAGCACTGCGGCCATTTAGGAGGGTGTAGGAAGGGAGGTTTGCTGGGAGGAGCTGAAGCAGGTTAGAGATAATTGCTTCATCCCGTGCTCATCCGCTGTCTCCTGATTCTTTGGGTGGGTGCTTGGAACAAGAAGCAGGTTGGCACAAACCCAGGGGGAGACAGGGCTCCTTGCTGCTGCTCGCTGCTGCTCCCTGAGTGCATCCCTGTGAGCTGCCCTGAGCTCCCCCAGCTCCAGCCTTCAGGTCAGCTGCAGTGCTTCAAAGGGTAACGATGGATGAGAGGTGACGGCCTCGTGTTGTTCCAGAGGAGGATCAGGTTGGGTTTTGAGAGCCATTTCTTTTCCAAAAGGGCAGTGATGTGTTGGCACAGATGGGGTCAGTGTCCCTGGCGGGGTTCAGAGCTGTGGCACTGAGGGATGTTTCTATGGGCACAGTGGGGTGGGGTGGGGCTTGGGGAGATGAGACGTTCCATCCTTAATGATTCTGACAATCTGTAAGTGTGGGGAGAACCCTGTGAGCATGGGACTCAGCTGCTGAGCAGTGGGACCTGCTGTGTACACAGGACTTTGGTCCTTCCTCTCCCATGAGAGCTTATGAAAAAAGCAGAAAAGATTGCTGCAAACACAGCTGAGCAGTGTTAGGAGCTCTGTTTCTGGCCATCACTTGCCCTCATTCCTTCATGGGGATGCTGCACTCTCCAAGCAAATGTAGAATCGTGGAATGGCCGAGGTTGGAAGGGGCAGATCTCAGAATCAGAGCCACGGGGGTTGGAAGGGACCTGTGGGGGTTTGCTGCCCAACCGCCCACGATGACCACTGGTGCAATGAGGTCTTTCCAGAGCCTTCTCTTCTCCCTTCCCACAGCTGTGGGCAGGATGCGGCACCGCACCATCCACCTCTTCCGGAAGGGCCTCCGGCTGCACGACAACCCAGCTCTGCTGGCTGCACTGCAATCCTCTGAGGTCGTCTACCCCGTCTACATCCTGGACAGAGCCTTCATGACGTCCGCCATGCACATAGGAGCCCTGCGGTGGCATTTCCTGCTGCAATCCCTGGAGGATTTGAGGAGCAGTTTGTGCCAGCTGGGTTCCTGCTTGCTGGTCATTCAAGGAGAATACGAGTCTGTAGTCAGAGATCACGTCCAGAAGTGGAACATCACGCAGGTGACTCTGGATGCGGAGATGGAGCCCTTTTACAAGGAGATGGAGGCCAACATTCGGGCTCTGGGAGAAGAGCTGGGCTTCGAGGTGCTCTCACTGATGGGCCACAGCCTCTACGACACCCAACGGTACGTGGCTGCCCTACAGGCCAGCAAGGCATCTCCAAAAGGTTTGTTTTACATTTAGCAAACATCATGGAGGAAAGGCTGAGGATCTCAGTTCTTCTGATGAGTTCCTTTTGAGAAGGTGGGGCTCTCTGAGGTAGTGGCACTGGCTGCTGGAGAATTCCGAGTTGGCAGAAGAAGCTTCAGCGGTTGCACAGGATGTTGGTTCTAATTGGAGCCTGAGGAATTTGTTATTTTCTCCCCTGTGGGCAGTTTAATTCACTTTAAGCCCTTCCACTGACTACTCTTAAACAGCAGGAGAAATTCACTAACGCATGGGAATGGTCTGATGGTTGGATGAGATGAGGGTCTTCTCCAACCTTGATGATTCTATGGTCCTACATTCAAAAGGACTTCTGTACGCATCCTTCTGTCTGCCTTGTGGGATCTATCTGATCAACTTTCACTGGTGTGTGGGTCATTGTGGGTCCACGCAGTTATTCACAGCTGAAAGCCCACAGATAATGAAGTTAATAATGATAGGGAGGTATTCATTAAAACAGCCTTAACCCCTCACCCTGAAAAGCCCTTAATTGGTGTGAACACAAGGATGGATGTGGTGTTCCATCTTGAATTCAAACCATCTGTTCCCACTGGTTGTTGCTCCACAGGCTGGGGCTGTTACTGTGCTGTCACCTCCCCACGCATCCACACACAGCTCCAGTTTCCCTCTTGATCCATGTTACCATGAGCACTGATTTTATTTTACGCGTAGGATTTTGGAGCTGAATGGTGGGACTCCCCCGCTGACGTACAAGAGGTTCCTTCACATCCTGTCCCTGCTCGGGGACCCGGAGATGCCAGTCCGAAATCTCACAGCTGAGGACTTCCAGTAAGTGAGACCCAACAGGGGACCTGCAGGGCCTTCCTCTGCCCAAACGAGTGGCGTCAAATGATGACAGTGACTTTCAGTCATTATGTTGCGTTGCTTTTTGGCGTGGAGGGTTATTGATGTGATCCTGCTGTCCAGAGAGGAGAGCAGGTGGGGGTGGAACAGTCTGAAGGCTTTTGTAGGGTGCATTGAAACAAACTTTTTGTGCATGTGAAGGTTGAGCAGAGGAGAGGCCAAGGAATTCGAGGTCTCTTTCACCACATCCTGGTGCTCTCCAACCTTGGATTCTGGCTCTGATGGGCTTCTTCTCCTCCACGGAAGATTCAGCTTGGGGTTTCTGGCTGTGCTTTGGTTCCCCTGTTCCACAACAGAGGAGGTCTGGGTGTGTGAATGGGGTCTGGCAAACTGTCTTGGCTCTGGTTCTCTCTCTTTCACATTAGGAGGTGCAGCCCCCCTGAGCTGGGCCTGGCTGAGTGCTACAGGGTCCCTCTGCCCACGGATCTGAAGATTCCCCCCGAGAGCATCTCCCCATGGAGAGGAGGGGAGAGCGAAGGGCTGCAGCGCCTGGAGCAGCACCTGGCAGACCAGGTCTGTCCTGATGGCACAGGGTTGTGCGGGTGGGCTGAGGTTGGTGCCATCCAATGGCGCGTGGTTGGGGCTGGACTGCGAGAAACCAGTTGGCTGTGGCCTCCAGTTCTTGCTGAGGATTTGCCCTCCAAGCAGCTCCACCTCGGGATTTCGTTGTTCTTGATGGGAGGATTGTGGTCGGGGTATTTTCCACGGGTGTGTTGCATGTGCATGAGCCAACAGCCAAGAGCCCATCCCTGTCCATTGGCTGAACATTTCTCACCTTGCTCCGCCTGAACCTTGATTTCTGTTCTCATTTCAGGGCTGGGTGGCCAGTTTCACCAAGCCGAAAACAGTCCCAAATTCACTGCTTCCAAGCACCACCGGCCTGAGCCCCTATTTCAGCATGGGCTGCCTGTCAGTCCGCAGCTTCTTTCATAGGCTGTCAAACATTTATGCTCAGGTAAGGGAAAAATCAGCCATAGTCAAGCAAGGCTAATGCTACTGAGGCTGGGGTTTAACCTTCTTGGCAGAGAGATGATGCAAATAATGCAACTTTGGCACAGTCTTCTCACAATGTCTTACGAATCCAGACTATGCTGATCAGTGTATGTCTAGTATCAAAAATCCTTATGCAATACCTTTTTGGAAGGTAGATTGGGAAAGCTCAAGGCTAAACAAGATCTAACAGAATTCAGCTTTGGTGCAAGAAGCATTGCTTCAGATCTTTGGCTTTCATGGGAAACCACCATGGAGGCAGCAGTGTGGTTAAGATTAATGTTTCTTTTGCGGGCATCACAAAATGAGTGAAGCTGCACGGAATGAGCAAACAGAAGCGTCGATCTCCGTGTCTTTGCAGGCCAAGCACCACTCCCTGCCCCCCGTGTCGCTCCAAGGGCAGCTGCTGTGGAGGGAGTTCTTCTACACGGTGGCATCAGCAACACCAAACTTCACCAAAATGGCCGGGAATCCCATCTGCCTCCAGATCCGTTGGTATGAGGATGCTGAGAGGCTCCACAGATGGAAAACGGTAACGAGGTGCATTTCCACGATGGCTGCATTTTGGCTCGGACCACGCAGGAGGGCTGACGTTGATTTCTGCCTCAGGCTCAGACGGGCTTCCCATGGATTGATGCAATCATGACCCAGCTGAGGCAGGAGGGCTGGATCCACCACCTTGCCCGGCACGCTGCCGCCTGCTTCCTGACCCGCGGGGACCTTTGGATCAGCTGGGAGGAGGGCATGAAGGTTCACTTCTGGTTTTGGGTTTTCTCTTTTTGTTTGGTGATTTTTTTTTTTCCCTTCTGGCTGGTCTTGAGAAAGCCCTGCACACCGTGAGCACCGTCATGGTGCTGTGGAGTGGGGAAGGTGGGGATGTGTTGGTGGTAGGACTTGGCAGTCTTAGTGGTCTTTTCCAACCTTAATGATTCTATGACTCTACCAGTGCTTTATTACTGAGCCTCGCTAAAAATCTCATGGTTTATAAAAATCTCACTGTCTTTTTCTTGAGTCTGGGCCGTGCTGTACAGGGCACAGTGGTGAGAAGCCATTCCCATCCCCAAGGTCTGATTTTGGCTGATGGTGATAATATTGGAGACCAGCCCGCTCTGCAGCACTCTTCAAAGTCAGACCTTTGGGCTTTGGGTTTCTCTGACACCAGGTCCTGCTTGAGCTTCCTTCCATGTGTGCAGAGTATCCTGATCGCAACTCGAGCTTCAACCTCCATCTACCAGCCTCTATTTGTTGGTTGTTTTGTTGTTGGTTGGGTGGTTGTTTTGTTGTTGGCTGGTTAGTGATGATTTTTGTTGGTTGGGTTGTTGGTTGGTTAGTGGTGGTTGATTGTTTGGCTGGTTGTTGGTTGGTTGATTAGTGGTTGTTGATCCGTTGTTGGTTGGTGATGGTGGTTGGTTGGTTGGTGGCAGATGTTGGGCAGTTGTGTTTTTACCACATAGGCAGCCATTTCAAAGGTGCTTCCTGTCCCCAAAATGCAGGTTTTTGAAGAGCTGCTTTTAGATGCTGACTACAGCATCAATGCAGGGAACTGGATGTGGCTGTCAGCCAGTGCCTTCTTCCACCACTACACACGGATCTTCTGCCCGGTCCGTTTTGGGAGGCGCACAGACCCAGAGGGGCAGTACATCAGGTAGGGCCACACACAGCATGGTGCTTTCTGCTCAGTGCTGCTTCCCTGCTCCTCTGACAGCAGGAGCTGGGGAACTCAATCTGCATGAAACACAACCCCTGTGGTTTACTTAGCATGGAAGGAAACCCCAAAGGCTGTGCTTATGGAGGTGATGACTGAGCACGGAACTGCATTGGCTGTGAGTGCCTGCAGACTCCAGTAGTGTCCAATTGCTGGGAGAACATGAGTGTGCTCCACTCCATGCTGTCAGTGTGGAAGTTTATGAGCTCTTTAAGGAGCCCATCTCTCCCAGATGTGGACTGAGCCTTATTAACACATCAGTGATTACCTGGAGTCCATCCCTCCCAGGAATGCACACCTGGCTTTGACATTTTCCTCAGCGATCTTTGAAAGAGTCTAAAAGTGGGTTCTGTCCTAAGTTGTACTTGCAGTGAGAAAGTCTACAGTGAAAATAGTTTGGATGAAGTCAAAACTGAAGTAATGCTTAAATCAATCCTGTTATTTATGTGATGTTAACTGGTGGAGGATTCAGAACAGAAAAAGATCTTTTGCATAAAACAAATCAGAACTCTCATGGATTGCAGTATCAGCAAAACCACCAAGAATGAATGTGGTGTAGGTTGGATTACATTTAAGTGTATTTGTCTGCAGGACTGTAAGAAAAACATTTTATTCTTCTTGTGTTGTAGGAAGTACTTGCCTATTCTAAAGAACTTTCCCTCTAAGTACATCTACGAGCCCTGGACGGCCTCTGAAGAGGAGCAGAAGCAAGCAGGATGTATCATAGGTAGCTCAGATACTGTGCTCAGGATTTTGCTGCTGATAATTGTAAGAAAATAATCACAGGTGTGACATGGAAGTGCCACACTTCCACCACGAGTCGTGCGTTTATCTTTTGTCAATGGATTCACCCAGCAGCCCAATGGATTCACCCAGCCCACTCTTTGTAAATCCTTCAGTCCAGTTTCATGGCAGTGGTTGCGATTCTTAGTGAGTCCCCAATGTGCTCATCACAGATCTTTGGTGAAGTTTTACTCTTCCTGCATTTCATCCTTGAAAACAGTTGGTGACAAATGTAGATATTACCAAAAAGTGATGACACGGATGAGGCACGATTGTGGAGCGAGGGGCGTTTTTCTCAGGTAAAAGGGGTCTTGTAAAAGTCCCATAAAGAGGCAAGGTCAGTTTTTTGAGTTGAATAGCTGATTGCAACGCTGTGCATTCAATCTGAACATCTGCAGGCAGTGCATTTATGACTGAAAATGGAGTCATAAATGTACCAAAAAATTGATGATTTTTTTTTTTTTCCAGCAATCTTGAAACCTATTCTCAAATTCCTTTACTGAAACATCAAACAAGGCTGCATCGAGAAATTTAGCTGTGTCCTTTAATGGCACCAAAGATCCATTTATCCAGTAGCATCGTGTTTGTTATCAGTACCTCACACAGAAATGGCAAGCTGGGTCATTTCTGTAGCATCAGCACTTTCTTATATTGCCAAAGCAAATAATTTGGAATTAGCAGCTTTACGCTCCAAATTTCTTTCGATTTTTACTTTTCTTCTCTTCATTTGTCCACACTCGTCTGAAACTGATTTTAGAAAAATCTGTTCTTTTTGCTTGTTTGTTTTAAACTGAGACAAATTATATCCCCCATGCCTTCCATACACTGCTCCATAAAGAATTCACTTTGCTGTAAACCCAGTGAGACGTCCTTGCTTAGTCCTGCCAAGTCTCTGTCGTACCAGGTCAGGATTACCCCTTCCCAATGGTGGACCACAAGGAGGCCAGCGATCACAACCTGCAGCTGATGAAGCAGGTCCGAGAGGAGCAGTACAGAACAGCCCAGCTCACCAGAGGTGAGGTCCCCAAGTCCAACCCTACCCCTACTGCCCACGTCCCTCAGTGCTGCATCTCCATGGTTCTGAACTCCTCCAGGGATGGGATCCCCACCTCTCCCTGGCTCATATGGAGTTCGTTATTCCAACCCTGTGCCCACTGATGTATCCAGAGGTTGCACATTGATACCACCAACCCTGTGGGATGGTGGGGTGAATGTTGTTGTGATTGCTCTGGAGATGTGGAAAGCCAAAGCTTGAGAAGCTGAGTGCCTGCTTCTGGCATTGTTGCTGTTGCCTGTACATAGGTTTTCTGGCATGCTTGGTAGCTTTACCTGCTGCTGTCAGGGGTAGCTGTTGCTGCACTGAGGTCTGAAAGGCTGCAAACTTTTGTTCTTCCTTCCTTCTTGCCGCAGATGATGCAGATGACCCAATGGAAATGAAGCTGAAGCGGGACCGCTCTGAGGAAAACTTAACAAAGACAAAAGCAGCCAGGATGACAGAACAAACCTAGATCCATCGGGGTTTAACCCTCTGGGAACTGAGAAATGGCAGAAGGGAGAGCAGAGGCCATCTGAGCAGGAGGAGCTGCACTCTGTGCTTTGCCCCCTGTGTGAACCAACCACCAGCAAAAGCTTTGTACCTTCCATGCATTTGTTACTGCAGTTATTTTGAATGAATTTGTCTGTCTGTTGGTGGCTTAGTAGTCATTTATTGCAGCTATAGGTAATGGACATGTTTCTCTGTTGCTATTATTCAAATCCACTCAACGTTCATGCATCTTTATGGTTTTGATGATAAATGCCACTCTTTCCAACGTGACAAATACATGTCAGTTTAAGAATAAATTGATATTAATGTTTTCACACATTAGTGTTAAAAGCAGGATTTGCCTTAGACAGGCAAATTTTAAGGGCATTGTTGTATAGTTTCTCAGTGGGTTAGGGCTGATGTCCTTCTCGGCTTATTCCTCTAGAACTGTAGGATAGGTATTTTATTCCTCTCATGTATCACATGTAAAAATTCCCCCTTCCGTTGAAATGGCTCCTTCTGAAGTGTCACAAGGCTGAATAGCCTGTTTTCTTTGTTATGGTTGGGGTTCTGTTATGGTTGTGGGTTTTCATCACCGTGGGTACTACGTGGGTACTACTTTCGTTTATAAAGAAATAAAAATTGTTTTTGACATGAAAAAATGTAAGGTCTGTAGATTAATCTGTTGTCACAATTGGTGTCCATCTGCCCTCTTTGGAAAGAAGACGACTATTGCATCAATCCCATACACCCAGACTTCTTCAGTCTGAAGGCATACAAAAGCTGTGAGGACCATCAGAAAGATCTGAGAATGGGCCGTGTCCTCCTGCTGTGCCAAGCCTGAACTAAGCTGCTGGCTGTGCTGGTGCTTCTCAGCATGCTCCTCTTCAGCGCACAGAAGGGTTGCCAGGATGACCTGAATGAAAGGCTGAGCCCTGGATGAGGGCAATGCAGAGCTGGGTATTGCATCGTGTTTTTAAGGCACACTCATCTCCTTCGTGTTCTAAAGAGGACAGCTTTTGCTGTTTCAGTGTCATGTCTAGCATTGCTGTGCAAGCAAAGACTTTGGGTGCTCGCTGGTCATAGGTGTGCATGAGGATGGAGTGGCATTGTTTCCTAGGAGGAGACACTGCAGGTGTGGAGGTTCAAAGAATCTTTGGGACACCTTTTGTTGAAAAGCAGCTGCACGGTTTGGTCTTTGGTTGGAAGAATTGAGATTTGTGTCTGCAAATAAGCTGTGTAGGAGAAACACTTGAGCAGGAAACTGCAAGAGCAGTGGAGCTGCTCTCACGGGCGAGAGCAACCTGCCAACACAGCTGGAAGAACGGAGCTCCACTGAGCTGCTCCTCCCAGCACAGCGAGGAGCCCCTCGTGTGCTCTGCATTTCATGTCGCTGTGACAATCTGCAGTCAGGCAAAGCAAAATGTCACCGAGTTACTCTCCAGTCAAGTTTTCCTCTCGTGACAGACAGAGGCGCCGCGAATCTTGGAGGCTGCACGAATGGATTCAGCGCGAGGTTCTGCCGCTCGCTCTGTGCGGGGAGCGGAGCGGCGCTGTGCGCCCCGGGTCCGGCAGGGGGCGCTGCTATGGCGCCATGTGGCCACGAGGGGGCGCCAGGAGCGACTCCTTCACTCCCTTACTTCCGGTCCCGCGAGAAGCTCTCCCACCCCGACGCCGCCAACCGCTTCCGGCCCGAAGTGCCGCCGCCGCTCGCAATGTCCCTCGCTGCCGCAGGGCGGAGTCGCGTTCCATTTCCTCTCTCTCCCGGAAGTGTCCGGAACGGAAGCGGCCCCCGAGCGGCGGCTCTTGTACAGGAAGTGACGGCCCGCCGCGCCCCTCCCGCCGCGGCCGTTGTTCGCAGCCGGCTCTGCGCTCGGCCCCGCGGCTGAGGCCGCCCCGCCATGTCCCGCCGCCCGCTGGGGGCCTCGCGGAGCCGAGAGGAGCGGTCGGGCAGCGCACAGCAGTTGTGAGTACCGGGCCCGGGCGGCGCGGTGCGGGCCGGCCCGGCGCTCGCCCCCTCCCGGCGGAGGGCGGACGGGGGCGGGCAACGACGCCGCCGCCGTCTCCGCCGCCGCGCTCCCAGGCGGCTCGGCAGGGCCCGGTACGGCCGAGCAGGGAGCCAACCGCCAGGTACGGTCCCGCCACCCTCCTCTCGCCGTCGGCGGGGCCCGGCGCTGAGAAGGGCGAGGCCGCAACGCGCGGGGCCGGGCGGCCGCCGCGGTGCGCTGGGCTGGGGAGGATCCGGGGGGAAGCCGGGAGCGGGAGGGCCGGGCGGCCGTCGAGGGCGCGTGTCCCGCCTCCGGCCGCTGGGCGCCTCGACGGGGCGACGTGCGGGAAGGAGACGCGCGGTCGGGCCCGCCGGCTCTCGGCTGCACGGCGGCTTTGCGCCCGGCTGCTGTCCTTGTGGGGCCGCTCGTTGCGCTCTGGGCTTTCTGCCGTTCGGGGCTGGCGGCGAGCAGCGCGGCTGAGCCGGCTGTGCTGGGAGCATTGGTGGGCGCTCCATGGCGAGCGGCGCTGGGAGTCGTTGTTCTAATTGTTACTAATTGTTCCTGATTGTCCTGATTGTTCTTAATTGTTCTCCTACCGCAAGGGCTGTTTTGGGGCGGGAGAAAGTGTTTCTGTACAGAGCTGTGAACCAGCACTGAATGTTTTTTGCTGCCGTTGCTGAAAGTTGCTGGATTATGGGGAAATATGAAGCTGTTGGGAAAGGCTTTCACCAAAGTTCTGGGCAGGATTTCTGGCTTTACACAGAAAGTCAGAATCGCTTTCTAGACTTTGTTCAGTGATAACAGCAAGACTTAACTATGATACTCAGTTTACGCATGGACAGGACATGGCTGTATGAAGGGAATGTGAACTGCAGTCAGTTTGCTTTAATTTGTTCTGGGCTTAGGCCTCCAATTTATGCTCAGTCTTGTTCGGCCGCTTCCAGGATTTGATTGTGCCCATTGAAATAAATGAAGTTGGTTTTTTGAGGTTTGTAGAACTTGTGGTCCCTGATTGGTTTATTCATGGTTATGAGGAGGAAGTTGTTTCTGAACTGTTACCTGGGAAGATGGGCAGCTGGAAAAGCAGCTCACCAGAAAGAAAAGACTGCAATATAAAGATATTGCTGTGGTTGATTGTATGAGTGAAGAAAACAGGAATCATTTCAACAAAGGAAAATACAGGATCTACTTTCTGTTCTTCTAGCTTGATATGAAAGTGGTGCTTATATATGTTAAAATATCCTTCCTTCCTGTTTCCTTCTCTTATCACTGCTTTCCTTGGTTGCTTAATGCTCAACTCCTGTAGTTGAGAAGGAAGCTTTTGGTATTGCCACACATGCTGTCTTTGTAGCAAAATAATAACAGTTTTTGCTGAAGAAAATGTCACTTTGGTGTCACTTACCTCTGTTGAGAATTTTGGACAGTGGTTCGAAGTACTGTCTAGGAGCTCAGTGCTGAGCTTTGTGGTTCTGCATCATCAGTGGAGCTGGGAGGTTTAAAAGTGCTTCAAAAAACACGTTGGTTTTTGTTTGTTTGTTTGTTTTCTTCTGCTTTAATTACATTCAAACATTCAAGTGTTTCTATTTGTTGCTCTTCATTTAAACAGAAATATTTATGTAAGATCACGATGCTTCCGTGCTAGTTTCTATCAGCTGACCTTTCTGGTTCCAAAACGTCCTACTCTGTTTTACCACTGACTGCTCTGATAGCATCCACTAAGAACTACGTGGCATGTTGGCAATGCTGTCATTTCCAGGATGCTGTTGTTTTTAAAACAAAGAATTTCCTGACCGCTGCACCGATAAATTACTTCAGTCTCTTCTTTTTCCACACAGAATGCCTAGAAATGAAATTGGACATAATTGTCCAATACTTTGGTAAATGCTACCTGTAAGGTTACAGCAATGAAAACTCTGCATGTCTAAAGCCTTTAGACAGACAGTAGCACAGACATTATTGGCCATCATGGGAAATGGGATCTCTGACAACCAGGAGCTGATCTAATCAGGGAGTCAAGAGCGCCCTTCTGGTTTCTCATTTGCTGGGAAAGGACCATGTTTGAGCAGATGCAACGGCTTCATGCGTGGATGTTCTCTACTAATGGCTGTATTCTAAGCTGACTTGGAAGACCCAGCTGTATTACTTTGCTGCCAGAAAAACAGTTTCAGTGGTTGAAAAACTACTTGACAGCAAGCAGAACGCAGTACTGTTGTCATCTGGACTGAGTTTGGGAAATAAGACCATGTTTTCAGTTAATTTGTTGATGTAGAAAGTCAGTAGGACAGAACTAGAATATTTTTGGTGACTGATGCTCGAGTTGGCAGCTTTGCCTTTTTATCCTGGTTCTGATGTCAAGCCATGAAGCTACGTGCTGTTCATTGGATCTTTTCTACTCTAGCGAGAGGAACTGTTCTGTTCCTGTTGGCATCAGCCTGCTGTGCCCTGTTGGCAGTGCTTGGGGCAGTAGGTTGTTAGACTGAGAGTCCAGGAGTTCTCTGGGGAAGATCCGTGCGTTCAGGGGAACTCGTGCGGAGTGGGAGCGTCTCTCTGTCTTGCAATGGATTTGAAAGTCTTATGTCATTCCTATCTTGGCATTTGAAGCAGTCACAACTTTCAAATTGATGAGGTTCTGTCTGTCTGCTGTTTGGACTTTTTGTCTTCACATCTGCATCTTCAGATTTCAGCGGTTCTGATTCTCTGTGTTCCTTCTAGTTCTTGAAGCCTTTTTCTTCTTAGACTCCTGTTTCTATAAGTCATACAGAACTTCCATGTGTTCCTTGATTACATTCGTTTTCTTTAATTTCTTTGACGATGACTGACCTTGTAGCACGTATCTGTCCAGAGAAAGAATGAGCAGGTGAGCTGTAGGCAAATGAGTTGGACACCGTGCGTCTTATTTCACAAAGTGAATGTATGTTGCATCTTATTTTATTTTTTCCACTAGTTTGTCTAAAGTAATTTCTGCTTCCATCTTGTCAAGTGATTAATCTGCCTGTATTTTCCTGAAGCATTCCTGAAATTCGTACTTCTTATCGCTAACTATGGGTGTTAATACAGCAAGGAGCAAAATACAGCTTTTCTGTTAAAGCTGGAGATAGCTTTTTTTTTTTTTTTTCCATTGGAGGAAGAAAGGCCCAGTGAGCAGAAGAGAAGGATAATTTAAGATGTTTCCTTGGGTCTTTAAACTCGTTGTTATCTGAGAAGGACACTCTTTCTTGCTTCTCTATGGTGTAATTGTTGGATGTGATGTTTAGTCTGTAGTATTCTGAAATGCTAACCCAAAATTTATATATAGTATGATCAGCATGATTTTTGCCTCTGTGGTTGCTGAAAATCAGATCTGGAGTTTTTTGATAGCTAGTCTGTTTCTAAGGCATAGCAGCACTGGGTGTACAATTCACTGATGGACATTAATTAAAATATCTGTGCTGTGTTCACTTATACTTTCTTTCTTTTTTTTCTTTCTTGTCTCCTTTCTTTGTTTTGTTAAGCATTGCAGGCTGTATGTACCGAGTAGTTCAGACGACGGGACCAGATGGAAAAAACCTTCTGAAATTACTCCCAATTTCTAAACCTTCTGGAAACTTTGTGCCAGTAGTTCAGTCTTCAGCCATGTCAAATAATCCTAACGTGAATGTTTCTAGTCCAGTCCATCTTGCTTTTAAGACACAGCTTGCCAGTACTGCTGCATCTTCATCTGTTCAGATACCTGTTTTTCAGTCTCCTAATTCTGGAAAGATTATCCTTGCAAGGACGTTAGACAAACAGGGAGGTGTTAGAGCAGGTTCTGATAAAGAAAGCGTAACGACAGAATCAGCTGCTGACATTCAGAGTAGTTGTGTTTCGGTTGATAGACAGTCTTTGCAGAACGCTGCCGTAACGAGTTCATCTGAGCAGAGTCACACTGCACACATGTTGGGAAACACCAAAGATAATCCCATTTCTGTGAAGCCTCCAGTACTGCCCTCTGGCCACCACCTCCAGATACCAGCGGATGCAGAAGTGAAATCTGTCCCAGCTTCTTTTTTACCGGCTTCAATCCAGCAAAAAATACTTGCCGCCGCAGCAACAAATGTGTCTGATGGAGCCGATAGTAAAAAAATGCCAATGGTGATTTATGTGTCACCTGTGAACGCAGTGAAAACGGTGCTTCCCAAGCATTTGCAAGCTGACAACCCCAAACCTGCCCCAGATGTTTCAAAAACGTTGCAGATGGCAGCTCCACAAAAGGCACATAGCTCTTCTCCTGAGACAGGAACATCTGATGCTCAGCAGTGCCAGCACGCACCAATGAAATGGATTGTGCGAGAAAGTCCGCAGTTGCCAGCGCCCTGCCTTATTCCTGTAAAGTCATCAAATAACGTGGCTTCCAAGATCTTGAAAACTTTGTCAGATATGAAGAATGTAGAAGTGAACTCTGCAAATATTTTGTCACGCTTTTCTACTGGTTCTGGTGTAAGCAAAACAAAAATCACGTCCATTAAGGATAATGCTCTGGTCATGTGCAATGGGAAAGTCTATTTATTGACCAGGAGAGGTTCTGATGTTCTATCAGCCCAAGCTGACGTGCAGGCATCTTCCTCTTATGGTGCTTCACTTAAAAAGGGAACATCCAAGCTAATTGATTCTACTGAAGTCACTAAAATAAGCAATAAAGTGGTGAATCTGGTATTATCCAAAAACAAAGGAGTGCCGTTACCTCAGAACGATCCTAAAGTGTGTACGAACTCTAAAGCTTCTTCACCTGGAAGTTTAAGAAATGACTTAAAATCTGCATCTGCAGCTCTGGTGATACCAAGTGTTGAGGAGCAGAGTTCCACTGTAAACCAGGGAAAGAGTTTGCCCTTCATGGAGAGCATCTCAAGTGGAACGACCCCAATTACGGCATTAGGGATGCAGGAAAATACGTGCCAAGATGGCAAGGAAATGATTCATTCCCCCAAAGCAGCAAGTGCTGTTTTACCTCAGTCTGAACATGAGTGTGCTTTCAGTGAAGACTGGCAAAAGGTAACTCCAATAAACGTGACAATCTCAGTCTCTGCTTGTTATATGCTCCTGGGTCTGATTAAGTGAAATGGCTTTTTCATAAGTTGACGGACTGTTTTTACCTTGTAACCTGTCACCAGAAATGCTGGTTTAAAATTAGATTATTTTATTTTTTTAGTTCAAAAGCTGAAAAGGTTATTCTTTTCCCAGTTAAGTTGCTCTGTGCAAATGGGAAAAGGCATAAAAGAAAAAAAAAAAAAAAAAGGCAGGGAGAAGATGTCTCTATTTCTTCACAAGATTAGTTATCGCACATGAGAATATGGGTAAGCTGTTCAGCCTTTAAGCTCGGGTTGCTTTCTGCTTTTTAACATTGCTGCCAGATGCTGTAGGCATGGGGTGAAGTAGGGAAGCTTGGAATGATGTGAAAGGAAGACAAGCGGTCAAGCAGAGGTTGTCATTCTGAGACAAACTGATGTTCCTCCTCCAATTTCTGCTGGCTGATAGAGCCAAAGGCAAGAGCTACATTTCCTTTCTTTCATGCTGTGATGCAGTGGGATTCTTTGTCTTGTGGCTTGATATCAGGCAGGCGAAGCTCAAAATCTTCAATGGCAACAGAGCTGTCCCCCTTTTGACTGCCTATGTATTCTTCTAAAATCATAGCGTAAGAAATATCTCAAAGGCTTTAGCTGCAAATTCCACAAACTCTGTACCTATGAAGGATTGCAAGTCAAGATTTCAATTGCTTCTGAAGACAGAAGGAGTTTGCCTCCAGGTGAAGAATCATTCGGAAGGAAGTGTATACTTCTGTTGACCAGGCCAAAGAGAAATGTCAGATAAGTGTGTGTATGCACATTTCAGGCATTTATTCATTGCAGTAGACTGTAGGATCTCTTCCTCACTCCCAAAAAATCGTTCAAGTAGACTTTTTTTCTGTGAGGACTTTATGATGGCAAGTGGTAGTGTTTGACTTCATATCTGTGAAAAATAGCATTTCAGTTGTTGGCTTTTGGTCCTTAACTTTGCGAGCCTATGGGTGCCAGATGTAATGATGTGAGCTTGATCTTGCATATTAAAAAAGCCAGTTCAGGTTACAGTGAGGATTAGATGTTGGAGGTGGTTAATAGTGCTTCGTTGGTATTATCAACCACAATGCAAATAAGAATTGTTTTCATCAGCCTGAAAGCGATGACGTATAGAACACTGATCTCTTATTATTTGCCTTTGATACTTATGGCCTTTAGGATAGGTGATGCCCCTGTTGCTTCTTTTAATTCTGTAGTTTACTAGTTGGACTTTGCATTTACCGGATATTGTGCAGTGCACCTGATGTTTTAAGTAATTAATGTTAGGCCTATGATAATTTGCCTGTAATTCCTCAAAATTGGCTTACATGTCTTAAATGCAACTCGTGGAAAAGAACAAATTGTCATTAGGGCTTTGAGTAAACTAAGGCTTTTACATACATGGAGAGATTCATGGTTCTCTTACTGTTTCTGTATTGCAGGTCCAGCGTAAAAAGATGTATTCACTAGGAAAAGTTAATAAAAAAAAAGACCAAGAGAAGCCACATTGGAAACAGTATTTGCAATTAAGGACAAAATTTGGTCTCTATAAGGAGGAGAGAGTCTACCTTAAGAGAATACCATTAACAACCTCCTGTGAGAAACCAGATGAGAGGGTGAGCTCCAGTAACAGCTTGGAAAAGAAAAATGATTCTTGCACTTCCTCCTCGTTAGATGTGACAATAACAGACCGACATCGGGAATGTATTAAAGAGGAAAAGGTACCTTGACTTTTTTTGGTGCTAAAATATGTGTGCTGCAGCACGTTCAGAAGGCAGTGTGAGTGTCGTCAGTACGCGGGTTGTGCTTTTTGCCTGGGCCGTCTCACCTCTGGATTTGTCAGGGGAAGTCGATAAGTGTTAGATCACGATGGGAGCTGATCCTTGGACTTGTTTCTGTACCGCTGCAGAGCTGAGTGATTTCAGTATGACCTGAGTACTCTTTTATTATTATTTTTTTCTTTCTTATCCTCTTTTCTGGGTTCAGCTGGAAGAAACCTGAAGAGCAAATGCTTTGATGATGCTGACCCGCTAGTTATGACTGAACAGTGAAAAGGACAGCATTTATGGGAGTAGGAGCTATACCTCTGTGACCCTGATTCGTATTTAGCCTTCTACGAACAATTAGGCTTATCAAGTAGTGCAATGGATATATGCAGAGCAATCAAGAATTTTCCTGGGCAGCTTTATCTGTGTATTCCAGATCAGGCAAGTGCTGTTATTTGAAGGCACTTCAGACGTTCACATGGCTAGATGTGTCTCACTTCACAAAAGAGCTGCCCACTTTGTCACAATCAGTGTTGTTTAGAGAAATTTGCTCATGTACTTGCGAGGTGTTGAGAGTTGCAGTGTCTTTATGAACTTAGTCCTTTGTCATTGGATAGGAACATTCTGGAGTGCTTCTGGAAAGGTTCCTTTATTGTAAAGCCTTGCATTTTAATGCATGAAAATGATTTTTATCCATAGAAAGTGGTTCTGTTCGGCCTTCATGTTCTACATTTTCTTTTGTATGGTTGTACTCTACTCAGTCAAAGGCCTTTTCATGTTTTGATAACTGTATGTGGAGAACCCTATGTTGAGCAGATCTACTGCCTAGTAAAGTGATTCTAAGAAACAAGCAATAAGTAACTCCTGCAATATGTGCCCAGTAACTGTGATCGTGTCATGTCAAATGGTCCTCAGTTTAACAGGAGTGTCTTTGTGTGTTTCTTGATCTTACAGGTTATTTTGGATCTAGAAGAGGGTTTATCTAAGAAAAGAAAAACAAAATCTTCACTGCCAGACAGTGGAAAGAGAAGGAGAGCATCAGTCAAGTCAGCCACGAGCTCGAGTTCAGAATGCAGTGGCCTAAGTTCTATCACACTAAACAGAAGTGTTTCTCCTCCACCTGCCTTATTGCAGCAAAGCATTTCCACAGACTTTGTATCCTCAACAGACGCTGAGCCAGAGCCGTGCTCCCAAAACAGCGATGTTACAGACTCAGATATTCCAGTGTTAGTGTCCTGTGAAGACCACGCTTCACTTTTTGAAGGCTCTTTCAGAGATGATGCTTTCCCTTTGACTCCCCCAGACCTGGATGAAACGATCCGGGACGAGAAGATAAAACGACTCAAGCAGCTCTTGAGAGAGCGGGAAGCAGCACTTGAGGAAATGCGTAAAAAAAATGCAGCAAATCTGAAATACTGAAGGTGGTGGTGGTCTGAACTGTATTCATCTTCATCTCAGTGACTTGAAGAAGAAATTTTGCGTTCGAATGAAGGTGAATATTTCTGGAAAAAGGAGGACCTTGAGGAAATTTATAATGTGTATTTATAAAAATAATTTTCCTACTAAAGACTAGAAATAAAAGACTTGGACCACCAGATTGTGCTTCTGGGACATGTATGCGTATCAGAATACAGAAGAGAGTGTTTTTACTATTTTTAGCATATCCTCTGTATTTTGCATTAAAGGGGTTTCTCTACTAGTCTTAGAAAATAAACTTCCCCAGTTTGGAAATTTGTAGCCCATCTGTTAGAGACAGAGTGCAAATAGCACCCTCCCCCCTTGTAAATGTATATTTTTTTTGTTTTCTTAATATTTTATACTGCATGACAGCTTTTGTGAATTACTAGGAACTGTCACTTGTCAAAAAAGGTCCATGGTCAGTGTTTAATAAATGCTATTTAAGAGGTTTGGGGATTAGTCTTCAGGCAGTAATGATGCTGATATCCAGAGGAACCAGTACTAACAGCTGCTGAAGTGTACCAGTAAAGTTATTTCGGTACGTGTTTCCTGCCGTTATTGTTGTAAGCCTTTATAAGGCCTTTGACAGATGTGCAATGTTGAAGTTTGGTTGTAGAATTATTTGGTTGTTGGGTAGGGTGGGTTGTTTGTTTTACTTTAATGAGTTAAACTGAATCATTCCTTATTTAAGCAAAAAAGATACATTTCTTTGTCTGCGAGTGGTATCTTTAAGAATTCCTGATGAATGTCTCTTCCGTTAACTCGTTCAGTCTTTATTTCAATGTCTCCTTCGTTTGATGCTGCCTACGTTTTGCATTGTAGAAGAGAAAGAGCACCAAAGCTGTCTTTGCCATCATGATTTTTTATAGCTCTTCAGAGTGTTTCCCCAGCATGTGATGTCATGTGGTATGGAGGCCTTCTGCTCCTCTCTGTTGTCCATGTCACAGGATGAGCTAGGTTGGAAGAGACTTTCGAGATGATCACGTCCAACCATCAGCTGACCAGGTCCCATCGCTGACCCATGTCCCTTTGTGCCACATTAAATGTTGTCACATCACTGAATTTTTAAGGACTTCATGCAGTTCTTTGAAGTCTTTATTGCTACTGCCATGAATGCACTGCTAACAGAACGTAGCGTTGCTTTTTCTTACCTAGTTATGGCTTTATTCAACATCACAGATCCCTGTGGAACTTGCTCTGTAAGAGAGAGCAAGTGAGTTACACATACTTTCTTGGTAAATATGCAAAGCACAGAGGCTAATTTATGGGAGGTGGGATTTTTGATCAGTGAATGACACCAATGAGGAAAACATTTGTCTCAACTTGTTCCTGAAAGTATGGAAGCAGCGTAAGTTTGGCTAAGCCTGTCTTGAAGTGTTTTGTGGGAAAAGTGGGACTATTCACTACGTATTGGGTGCGGCGGGTTGACATAAGCCAGCAGAGTTGCTTGCTCATTTACCTTCCCCATTGCGTGAGGAGAATGCAGAAGGCAAGAAGATTTGTGGATTGAGATAAATGCAGTTTAATAGGTGAAGTGAACGTTGTGCATGCAGGCGAAGCAAAATAAAGAATTTAATGTGTGCAATCAGCGGGCTGATGCTTGACCACTTGGTTGAAGCGAGACCGGCATACATAATGGTTGCTTGGAAAGGTGCACACAGAATCAACAAACACCCATGAAGTTACGTGGCGTGGAGCATCGCTTTGGTAATTTGGGGTCTGCTGTCCTGGTTCTGTTCACTTCTGTGTTCCTGCTGGAGGGTAGAGTGGAAAACAGAGAAAACCTGGATGCTGTGCAGGTACTGTTTAGCAACAGCCACAGTGCTGGTGTGTCACTGTCACGAACCCAGAATGCTGCACTGTACAGACTGCTGTGAAGAAAGCTGCGTCCATCCTAGCCGGCACACTGGGACAGCAATCAGGAAAGAGAAGCAGCCTCTTGCCTTGTGTCTGGCGCTGTGCTCACTGGTTGTGATGCTCTTCCAACAGATGTCTTCTATCTATCCTGTCGTCTGTCTTAACATCTTTACATTCTGATGATGTACAGCGAAACAGATCAAGCTCTGTTCATTTATCCTCTTAAATCCTTCAGGATTTAAGTTCTGTGACGTATCACCTTTCTTTCACAACCTCTTTTCCTCTAACAAACTGCTTGCTTACTCCTCTGTTTTCTGTAGAGATTATGACAAAATAGTGAAAATTCAGAGAAGAATCCTTGCTGCAAGGTTTTGAAGAAACGTGATCAGTCAGATTTGTTAGAAAAAAGTGAAGACGTTGGTTCCCTGTGATTGAGTAATGGAAAATGGGCAATTCAGAAAGTTGAAGCCAAGACATCTGTGCAAGAGCAGGCATCTCTCTTGGAGAGCTCTATTGGAAGCTGAGAGGATCTCTGAGAGCGAAGACAAACCTCTTGGTGTGCCGATATGGGAAAGTTGTAGCAGCAAAGTGACTTAACAGCCCAGGACCTTGCAGGTCGTTGGAACTGCTCCTCATGCAGCCATGTTGTCTGTAGCGCAGATTGGGTTTTTCTGCACTGTTCATCCCTTAAAGTCTATGATCTACTGAGCATTTATTTATGAAGTGGAAGCTAGGATCTTGGGAGCACTGATAGTGCCATGGCCACTGCCCTGATGAGCCAGATCCGTACCTGACCACCAGCTGGTGAAGAACCTTTTTGTCATGTCCAAGCTGAACCTCTGTGCCATTCCCTTGGGTCCTATCAGTGGCCACCAGAAGGCATCGTGCTTGATGTGTTTACACAAAACTCACTTTCAAGCAAGCGTTCATGAAGAGATGGTGGGAGTCTTCTAGGAATTGGTGGGCTGAAAGAACAAAAGGCACTGAGCACTGGACACAGCAGGTTGGGAGGCAAAGGCAGCACTGGGCCAGCTGACATCAACCTAATGCGGTGGTCAGAGTGTGTGGACAGAAGAACTATCCCTGCACAAAGGTGTTACTGCTCCATTTGAGGTCAGCCCACCAAGGCACCAGCACTTCTGTATGAGAACACCCAGCTGTCAGAGTTGCTTAGCGCAAGAGGCTGCCTGGAAACTGTGCCAGCAGCCAGCTGCTGCAGACTGCTTTCATCAGGTGATGAAAAGTGCACATGAAAATGTGCACATTCACCTTTCAAGCTGTTGTGGATCACATGGAAGTGACCCTGGGTTCCCTGCAACATGTGGACAAGCGGCTGATTTCCGATGGCAAGGTTGGCAGCGGGAGATGATGTGGAGAAAGAATTTGCAGAGCCCTCAGCTCCCTGCACAGGTGGACGTGGCAGGAATAGAGCAGATGGCGCAGTTTGAAGAGCACTGCTGGCAGGTGGAAGGGGAAAAGATGCTGCTCCAGAAACAAGGCACAAAAGTGCAAGAAGTTACTGCTGGAACATGTGAAGGTCCACCCGGCTCATTACCACAGAGACCGATGTGGGGAAGGAAGTCAGAGTGGAGACTGAGTGTGGACGCTTAGAAAAGCACACAGCGGCATCAAGATCACATGCAGGACTCCATTGGTACTTGTAATCTTCCAGCTACCATAGTTCCTGATGTTTAATGCATTTTGTTTTTTTTTTTTTTTGCCCATCTGGCAGCAGAGGCCAGCTCCAATGGGAGAGGTGGTGGGATGGAAGCATTCCATGCATCCCAAAGTGCTTGGCATGGGGAACACTGCAGAGAACAGGCCAAGGGAAGAGAATTCTGTGCTGCCTCTCCGTTGGGAAGAGATGACACGTGTATCTTTTAATAACCTTCATTTAATTCTTTCATGACATTAGCATGTGTAGAAATGTTACAGGCTTGTGTTCAATACTGATAACGTTGCATTGCTTCGTGGGTTAAAAGCAAAGCCCTTTGTGTCAAGTAGAATACAATCACTTCATTTTTCTTTTATATATGAAATAAACGCTTAGAAGTATGAACTGTTATTGCTATTACATTCCTGAGTTGTGCAGAGAACTCGTTCTCTTTGCCTTCATTAGATGCTCCCTGCTGTCAGCAGCCTCTGCTCATCAGTCGCAAAGCTCTGTGGTGTGTTATAAAGGGTTTGTCCATGCAAGCTGGCAACTGCACGCAGGGAAATTTTCTGTGGAGGCAAAAAAGGGAAGAAACCACAGCTTAGCAGGCTCATCACTTGTTCAGCAGAGACAGTTGGATGAAAGACCAAAACACAGATCAGCTCCTGAACTATTAACCCAATCCTGTGCTGTCCTCCTGGACATAATAAACTTCATAATTCACTACAGCAAACCTCCCATGACTGTGGCAGATCGTGCAAGTGAAGCTGCTTGGAGCTCGACTGATGCTGCCAACGCAGTAGGAGTGTGCCCTACTGAGGAAGAAAGGACCGCTCAGAGCTGTTCACACCACAGGTCCTCCAGCCTTGATGACTGATACACACAAGCTTAGAAGCAGGCAAAGAGATCACCCTGCATCGTGTCAGGCTATTGGAAGTCTGGAGAAACAGAGCACATAACATTAACGTTGATTTTACCTGAAAATCACGAATATAGGTGAGGAAAAAGCTGAGGAAGGAGAATGCTAATGACCACTCGGAGGCAGTACTGACAATGTGAGCCGTGTAGCCCTGTGTAACAGGGAGAGAGAAGGAGAGAAAATAAAATCAGTATGAGAAAGTCTTGGTGGCTCTGTAATGGCACAAAGTTGGCTTGAACACATGACGCCTTGCATCTACAACTACTCTGTTCAGAAAGTAAAATCCCTTAGGATATCTGGGGTCTCTAAAAATGAAGTGCTGAACTCAGTAGAAGAGTTTGTTAAAACATTTGTTTTTTTCTTTTTTTACTCACTTTTTCCTGGGGGTCCCAGTGCAACTTTTGCACAAGATCTGTTCCATACAGGCCACTGTATAAGACAACTGAGGAAACAAACACTGTGGAAATACGTTAAGGAGGATTCAAGACAAGGAAGGAGCAACTTGGAAATTCCAGCCTTGGCACTGGGGTGCTTCAAAGGGAGTCTGTAAGGAGACCTGTGTGTTCTCTACCAGGTCTCCTCAGCAGAATGAATGCTGACGGAGATGTGAACAGTTCCGCATCGTTCCCTTTGTCTTGCAGGTTGCTCCAACATGAAAAGCTTGATTCTAAGTGCATCAGTCATCTTTGCTCTCTGTATACTGCACCTTGTTGTACCTCCTTGATCAACTTTAACATCTGCGTGGAAACACTTAGGCTGTGATGGATGTGCACCATGCTTACCACTTCCAGCGTTGGTTTTTTTTGAGTTATCCAGCAGTGGATAAGCATTTCTAGGTTTCCTTCTGCCTTCCACTACCAGAAACAACCACTTCTCCCATGGCCAGAGACGACTTCCTGTTACCACTTCTCCCTTATTACATGATGAACTGTTAATTTAGGAAATACTCAATTTCCCTTTGATTCCCCTTCCATATATATAGGTATGCATATATTATTTCTACACTCCCCTCTACTTTTGGTTAGACCATACTGGTTTACAGACCTCAATAGATCTTGTGGGTTTTTTTTGGCATCTGTACAAGGTTCTTAACTTGAATCAGTTCATGTTGCTCCCTTTCAGTCTGCTCCAATTTTATTTGGCTCTTAACTGTTTGGAGCTGAAAATCTCATTCTTCTCTAGCACAAAAAAATCTCACAGCTGACTTCCTTGCCATGTCAATCCTCTTCCTCCTCGCTTCATTACCAATAACCAGCCTGACCCAAATTACATTGTTTTGCAGTAGCAGGAATGGGAGCTTGGCGATCAGTGAGGTGGTCTATGGCTAAATGTTGGTTTTGGCTGTCAGCCCAGGAATAAATAAAATCAGCAGGGATTAAATAGGTGGCCTCAATTCAACTGCAGCAGGAACAGTATTTAGGCAATGATTTTTGGACTCATGTCTTTGGAATGTAAATTCTAATGCTTTTAGTGTTGTAATCCTGTTTGATGCAACTGAGTCACGATTTTCAAAACACAGTGTTTAGGAGTGAACATAGGAACTGCTGGTTCCGTTTCCTAATTGTCAGATAACTCTAGGAGAAATGCTCTGTTTCTGAATGAGTTTGCCTAGATTTCTATGGCTGCTTCCTATGGCTGCTTACAGAACTTGGAACTCAAAGGGAATGATGAGCTCCAGAGCCAAAGGAAGGCTGTTGGGAAACTGTGCCAGAAACTTCTTGTATTTTGACTTCTAGGTTGGGCAAGGGAGGAAATGGCAGGTCACATGTCTCTACTGAATCAACCTTGGCAATGCATTCCACAGCTGCTTCTGTGATAAGTGCCAGAACTTTCTGACCTGCTCGGGGATCCAGCTGTATGAGCGCACTGTGCTGCACACAGTTGGGTTGGCAGTGTTTTCTTTTATGCTACATTTTCTACTTCTCATTCTAGCAGTACCCAATCACAGAACTGCAACATTTTGTTAGCCTGTGACCTGCTAGCAGGCTTACCCTGATGGTGCCCTTTTTTTCTGAAGTTTCCAAGCTGTAAAACTGGATAGAAAAGCCAAGATACAAGCTGTAAACCTAAGGATGGTAGACCTTCTGTAGCACAGTCTGTCCTGCCAGCAGATTAAACAAACATAGCTGCAAATACAATTGTGGAAGCTGCTCTGTTCCATGGAAGCACATTGCAGTGAAAGGATACTGCTTGCAATGCTTGAGCAGCACCAGAGCAGCACGGTCAGTCTAATCAAAAAGATGTCTTTGCTGTGAACTTCTGGCTGCATCAAGTAGGAGAGGATGGTCTGAACCAGCATATAAATGGCTCCCACTCCAAATGTCAGGCAGGCTCCGACCACGTGGATGTAATACAGAACACATTTCTATGGAGATAAAGAACAGTTTGTACAGAACCTGGTTTAATTTTCAACTCTGGGAATATTTTCCTTCCATAACCTGCTGGTGCTCCACGCGCACAGTCATCCTCTCATGTCCCAAACGAAAGAGTTCTGGAATGTGCCAGCACTTAAGAGATTTTCTTGGAAGTCCACAGAGTTAGCTGGGAGCCAACGCCTGGCAGCCCTCTGTATTGCTGCTCTGGGGATGTTGTTGCAGCTAATTTACAGTTCAGCTATATCTCAATTACAGGAATTCATCAACGCTGCCTTCATTATCACGCTGAGCAGTAATACGGAAACTGAATGGAGGAATCCCTGCAGTTGGGAAGGTAACAAGAGTGACAGCAGACTGCCTGCTGAATACTTGTACCAGGGAATCTGTGTGTCTATGAAGGATAATGCAACAGAAGACAAACATGACATGCAATTCTAGTCCCCCAAATGAGGTTAAAACCAATGAGCTTTAGCAATTCTCTGAACTACTGCTCTACTACTGTTTAAACAAGCTTTGTTTGTCCTTTCCTCCTATTCCTGACTGAGCTTTGCTAAAGGAAATGAGAGAAAGGTGGAACTTCTCAAGAGCTGCTTTTCCCTGGCCCTAATCCAGCCGGAGAGCAGTGAGCCACTGCAACCTCTAGTGGCTAAAGGCGCTGCTACAGAGAACTTCTCTTTCTTTTAATGGTTTGGAATTTTGTGACTTGCTGCTCACAAATCCCGGTGGATAAAGAAAATCAGAAATACGTAAGAAACTCCAAATTCAGACTTACCTATAACAGCTTTCTGTAGAGAATGTGATTAGAAAAACAAACAAACAAACAGGTTTTTCCCTCAAAAGTTTTGCTTTTAATTCCCCCCCTCCCCCATCCCATCTTATCACAGTACACAAACACCCAACTCTGGACACAAACCTGGAAATTTGCAATGATGCAAAGTCCAAAGCAGCTCATCAGTCCCAGCATAAGGCCAATCTTATTAAGCTTGATGATCCTGGATTTGTCTGGATTCAAAGCATAGACTTGTTTGTAACGGACATACATGGTGGCCATACCTAAGAATGAAGAACCCAAATGCAGTAAACTGTTTTTTCCTTTTTTTAACTGAGAATGTGCTGAGTGATAGGGGCACCTGTTTGAAGTACAAAAACTGCCCTAGGAAACGTGGGAATGTGGAAGTCAAAGCTGACATAACTGACCTACTAAGGTTTTCTGGTCTCCTTCACTTGAAAAAGTACATTGATTTTTCTCTCTGTAACCAAAGCACGAGTAAGATGACTTCCTTAATTCTGCATTGATATTCCTCTTACCACTATTCCCTCTCTTTCTTATTCTCTTTCTTGTTTTCTTTCTTATTTTCTCTCTCTCTCTCTCTTTCTTCCTTTCTTCCTCTCTCTTTCTCATGCATTTTTAGCCTTCTGGAATCTGCAGTTGGTAGGTAACATCCCTGTGATATATTTTCCTCTAAGTCACTTAACAGAAATAAGTTAACTGCCTGAAATTTAGCTTTGATGAGAATTACGGGCTGTTTAATGATCTTAATAAGTAAACAGTTTAAAACCATGTGATTGCAGAACTGTGTGCAGCTTGCCAGGGACACCTTTCTCTACTCACCCAGGAAAGATGAAACATTTAACATGATCCCAAATAAGCATCTCTCAGGAGGTATTGTCCCTGTATCACTGGAAGAAAGAAATGAATACTAAAAATATTTGCAACTCAAGTTTCCTTTTCAGTCTACAAAGAAACCATAAGAAGCATGATGTTCTTAGAACCAGGAATGAACATTTTTGGTATATTCCTTTTATTCTGATCTTCATTCATCACAAAAGGTGAATAAGGAGTATTAAAACCTGGAAATGTATAAGAGCCTGGAAATCTGAAAGATCAAAATTAGAGGCACACATGTCCAGCCTCAGTGTTCTGCAGTTGGAAATGTAGATTGTATGAATGTTACCAACCTGATGTAGGGCACCAGAGGGTCAACATGGTGGAGGACGATTGCAGTGATGTATGAAAACACAAATGTTGCTGCTGACCAAACAACCAAAGCCACGGGCAAGAAAGAGAGGCCTTGCTGAAACCACCACATTTCAGGGCTGACTTCCAACTCCGAACACTGTGGAGAATTGAACAGAAATATTTACTAACAACATTTGGCTTTTCTGAGGCAAACTGCCTATTCGTATGGACTGCAGGTGCTGCCAGGGATGGCTCTTCTCATCACAGAGGCTGTGCCAGGATGCATTTGTGCATATGTGAATGCATTTGGTGTTGCTCTCAGTCCTGCACTGCAAAGCCAGTGTGAGTATCTGACCTCAGGGCATGGAAGCAATCATAAATAAGCAGAAATAACATCTGGAAATGTTAACTCTGAAATTCTTAGAAGATCACGAGAAAAGAAATCAGCGACCAGTGTCACTTTGCTGCATGTCTTGGCATTTGTTGCTGCCAAAAGAAGGTCAGATGGGTCACTGTGAATAACTGACTCTATTTTCTTCTCACCCTTGCATCAGAGAGTCACAGATCACCTCGGTTGGAAAAGATCTTCAAGATCATCCAGTCATAACACTGTGTTAGAATTAACGAGGCTGTGACAGAGGACGTGTGCTGATAGTGACAATTTAACTGATAGTAGCTCCTATAGAGCCTCTCATTTCCATTAACAATCAGCTGGGCAGACATTGAGAAAACAACCTAAAATTACTTCAATATCTGCACTCATTTAGTGCCTGTCATGCTGTGTGACTCAACATCTGTTACAAGAATCACTTAAATAAGATTGCAGATACCTATGAGCATGAGCTGACTGCTACCAGCCACAACCTTTGAACTCAAGAACGGATGACTATGGGTGGAAGAACTGTGCTGCAGTTTTACAGGTGGGAGGGAAAGGTCCATTTACAGTGGAGTTAAACTGCTAACTACGTATTCACATGCTATCCAGTTCTGGATCTGTGAATGGAATACGAGACAGCGAAAAGGAGAATAACAGAGAATGCAGATCCAAGGGCATCCCAGACAAAGATCTAGCAGCATGTGAGGAAAGGCCAATAGCACTATGGGAATATAGAAATAAGGCAGCACTGAGAGGCTTTAGGAGGCATGAAATGCCTAAAAGGCAGGAGATGAGCAAAACAAAGAGAGAGAAAGAGGCATGAAGCACAATTAATACGTTTCACAGGAGGGAAAAGAATGTGAAAATAGAGAAGAGTGAATCTTGCGACAGAGCAGAGCTGATCGCCTCCCACACATCTCAGCACTGCTGCTGTGTACATCCTGCGCGCTGCTGCTGCTTGCTCCCAAGCATCTCTTCCCAAGGTACATCTTTTTGCTGACCTCCTCCACCTGTGTGTCCAGGGAGGCTCACGGAAGCCCAGCTCTGCAGATTCATCAGCTAATGCCGCATAATGAGCATTGCTCATTTGCAAGAAACTCGTCACCGCCTCGTGCCTGTGCTTCCTTGAAGCCTACAGTATCAGTGGTTCAAACAAGGCACGCTCCTGGGACAGAGCAACAGCCACCCATGACTGATAGACCTTGAAAAGAATGAATTACATCCTTATAAAACTGAAGTTTCAGCTGCTCGTAAGGAAGACATTAGGTATCGGATAACTACATCTTAAGAATAAAGTGACCACTGAAACTGCTTGCTTTCTGACCCTTATACTTTCATTTTTAAGCTAAAGATAATGTAACATTTGTCCTCTAATGTTGACTTCCATTTAAAGGCCCTCGTGCAAAACAGATCATAATGAATATAACTTTAAAATCCCGTATCTCGAATGTGTGAATTTGGAATCTGCATGAAAGAAATGTATATTTTGCACAGCAATCTGTTTCCAACTTCAAAGCAACTTCGGGCAGTCAGTCTGGTATCTGCATTTTGATTTGCCTTTAGCATTTAAATGTTATCAGTGCCTTAGCATTATTTCTGAACTAACAGATTTTTGCCTGAAAACAAACAAACAAACAAACAAACAAACATGTCACATACCTGAGAATAAGGATGTTGAATGAATTCCTCAAGAGGAATCCAGAGTCATCCTTCTGGTGAAGCTCCCCATCCACTTCATTTTCCCCTAAATGGTTGAGATATGAAGGAAAACACTCCAGATGTGAGGTAACTCTAAATCTTTTCATCTACACTAGTCTCTTTCTTAGCATCTTCTGTTAGGCACTGCCACAGGATTCTGGGTAGGTGCACCTTTGGCTTGACTCAATGTTTTTTCTATTCTTAAGTGGTTTAAGAAGTGAAGCACCTGTATGGTGGGACAGCAATGCAGGAGAACAGGTTGAAGACTTTTGGATTCATATAACTTGTCTATAGAGGGGTTTAACTTGAGATGAGAAGCTTTCCAGCAGAAACCTGAAAGCGACTGTTCCAAAGGAATTAAAATCGTTCCAGTGCAATTAAACTGTTCCCAACTGATTACTGTGGGTATCCCCATGACCCATCCCACCCCACAGCTGGAGGCAATGCCCTGCACACAAATCACCACCATTTGCATGTGGTCAGGTGCACAGAGCAGCGTGGCAGCTGGTTGCAATGTGAGAGCTCTGCTGAGCTCACTGTACAGCTGCAGGATGCTGTGCAGAGGCAGACCTGCTGGCCAGCCCTGCAATTAATTATGATTAGTGCCTCATCCTGTCCTATTGTTTTCAACAGCAAGGAGTAAAACACACTCAGCCTCCTGCTTTTTTTCCAGCGAGGCCCTCTGCCAACTGATGATATCACGGCCATGGGCAGCCTCTCTCTTCAGGATTGTTTTCTAAAACCTGTATCCTGTTTTGTAGACATGTCTGTGTGCTAAATGGGGAAGGGCTGACCCTCAGGTAATACCTGTGACAGTATCGTATCAAACCATATCGAGGGCAAGTGGAGGAAGGGCATTAAAAGCACAGAGCTTTCTTTATGCACAGGAAATGGGCAGCAGCACTGAGAGCACACGGAACAGAAACTACAGAAGTAACAAAAATAAAAGACAACCGAGATCACAAAGGGCAAAACGTTAAAGGTGGAAAAAGCAGAAAGCACATGTGGAAATGGGAGAATTCTGAATCCGTGCTGGGACAGGAAAAGCACTGCCAGCCTCTCCCTGCGCTCCCAGCCCCGCAGGCGGGTGCAGCCCAGCAACAGGCACTGCGAAAACACTGCAGTGAGGGCAGAAAGAGAAAGTGTGTGTGCTCTGCAAGGTTGGACGGGGACGAGTCGCAGGGGGACACGGCAGCGATCCCTTGCACAACTTGTTGTCAGGGTCAGACCGATAACAGCAGATAAAGGTTGGGAACCTGCAAAGGAGCAAAGCGAGAGCGCAGGGAATGGACGGGCTGCGCTGCTCGCACGGCACAGCGACGGCAAAGGGCTCGTTTTGAGCGTTTTGTCCATCCAGAGCCCAACAGCTGCTGCGTCGTGCGTGGGGGTGAGCTGCTGGGGGCCGAGGGCTGGATACGTGGGTGGACGGTGATGGGACAAGGGGACGGTGTTCAACTGAGTTCAGGTTGGATATCAGGAGGAAGTTTGTCAGCCAGAGGGCGGTGAGGCACTGGAACAGGTTGCCCAAGGAGGCTGTGGACGCCCCATCGCTGGGGGCATTGAAGGCCAGGCTGGATGTGGCTGTGGGGGGGGTCAGGAAGGAGGGGAGGAACCGAGGGGGTAGGAGGGCGGAGGGGCTGAGCGGGAGCAGCCGGAGGCGGCCTGGCGGTGCCGGGAAGTGAGCGGTGAGACGAAGGGTGTCTGGGAGAGGCGGAAGGGAGGACGGAGCGGGCCGGGACCCGCCAGGCTCAGTGTGCGAACCCCAACCCAGCCCCCTCCCCGCGCCCCCGCGCCGTTACCTCAGCCGCTCCCGCCCCGGCCCCACGCGCCCTGCCCCGCCCCCACCCATTAGCCCCGCCCCTTCCCCGCCTCATTTCCGGCTGTCGCAAAAGCGGCGTAAAGCACCGCCGGGCGGGGAGGCCGAGGTAAGGCTGCGCGCGTCCCGTCGCCTTGTGCGCTGCCGGGGGGTCCCGCGGGAAGGGGCTGCGGTGTAGCTGCGGGGAGGGCCGGGCTGGAGGCGAGGAACGGGCACCGCCGGGCCGGCCTGCTGCGCGTGTGGAGCCGGGCCGGGCCTGGAGGTGCCCCCCCGGCAGCTCCGGGTTTTGTGGGCTGCGGGGCGGCCGGGCCGCGTCCCGCACTGCGCCTCGCTGCTCTGCTTGGCCGCGGGAGCCCGGGCTGCGTTTCCCGAGGCCGGGCGGACCGCGAGCCGCTGTGCCTCCGCTGCCGCCTCCCTGCGGAGCCGCGCTCTGCTCCCCACTGCGCCCTTCTTCCCGCTCGTGAAGCTCCGTGCTGTCAGGAATGGCCTTAGTTAACTGCAGCGGGGCTGGAAGTTGCCGTGTGCTTGTTCTTACACCGCAGTTGACCTTTGATTTACAGCTGATTCTTGCTTAACGGTTGATTCTGTTTATTTACATAGGCTGACCCTCATCTGAAAAGCAAACTTTCCTTTTCGGTCTCCACCACCTCTCTGTTAGTCTGTACAGAGGGTTTTGTGTTGTTGGAGAGCTGGGATACCACAAAGCTCCTCGTGCTGGAGGTGCTGCTCCTGGCCCCCTGTCTTCTCACTGCAGCTCTCTTTGATAGCTGGAGCTCTGCATATTTCTTACTTAAGAGTTGAAAGAAGCAACGAGCTTTCAGGTGGATTGGGTTACACTTAAGGAAAAGTGGGGAAAAAAAAAACCAAACGTGCTTATTCCTCCTTAAAGGGTTTGTTACTCCTCACCAAAGAGGCAAAGCTGCTTCAAAGCTGCTGAACTTTCCCTTTATTTGTATTGCCATCAATTGATAATCAGAGCAGGGAACGTGGGCTGTGTGTACTGCCCTAGGGAGCTGTGAGGGACCTGACTGTGCCTTGGTCTGTAACATCGGGCAGCAGTGTGCTGCAAGCTTCTGCTGCTGATGAAATTTAGGCAGGTGGCTGCAGGATATTTGCTTCTGTAGGCAGCAAAAAAGTTAAACAGTGTAACTTGCTACTTTATGACTACATTGAGAACGTTCTTTCCTGTCTTCCCTCAACAGTTCTCCAAATATCCTTCTTTTCTAAGGTAAAACTCTTCTACGGTCATCCTGGCTTGCTGCAGGCAAAATGAGATGCTCTGTGGAGCATTAAAAACTCCTGATATTTCAAACATCAGTTTATCTCAACCCTTTATGTTGCAGGATCTTAATGATTCTCCGTAACAGCTGTTACCTGCCAAATAAAAACTCTGAGGCCACCCAATCCATGAGCGGGCATCGGAACCTCAAGAGGCGATGCGGGGAGTCGCACCTGGAATCCCCTGCAGGCTGTGCCCACGGTCCTGCTGCTGCCTGTGTGCTGAGCAAGCTAGTTCAGTTGCCTACACCTCCCTTGTCAAAGCACCAGCTGAAACGGTTAGAAGAACACAAATATCAGAGTGCTGGACGGTCGCTGCTTGAACCTCTAATGCAAGGTTACTGGGAATGGTTAGTTGGAAGAGTTCCAGCCTGGATTGCCCCAAATCTGATCACCATCATTGGACTGTTAATAAATATATTCACAACCCTGCTATTAGTATACTACTGCCCAACAGCTACAGAGCAGGTAAGTTCTGGGCCTCTGACAGCCTGTGTCGTTGCTGTGATCTGACAGTGGTTGGCACTGTTCCCTGCTGGGCTCCTGTTTATGGGGAGCTCTCTCTCCACGAGTAGCCCACAGTTGTCATACAGATGATTGTGATGCTGGTGCTTGCATGCAGGAAGGGCAGTGTAGGTTTTGGGGAGCGTGTGTTCTGCTGAGGGCTGGTGGAAGGGTTCCTGTGGGCCATCATGTGTTGTGTGAAATGGAGTCCAGTACCAAAATAGCTGTTGGGGCAGCAGCTGTGATGGACCTGCTGCATGATGCTGCAGCCCCTCAAGGATATGCTTGAGTTCATTCTGGTCTAGAGGGAGGCATACCTGCCTACAGCAGGGGTTTGCAACTAGATGATCTTAGAGGTCCCTTCCAACCCAAACCGTTCTGTGATTCATGTGCAGGCAACTAAAAAATTTACATGTCTTGCTTGTGTAGCTTTTGTCCTGTTTTCCTGTTTGCTTTCCCTGTTTGTGACTGGGTTAGTCACTTCAGCTATCTGAGTTGGAATTACTACACAACAAGAAGAGCAGGGTGACTTGATCTGCGGTTAATTGAGTGCTGCAAACCCAGCTAGAGTTGCAAAACAGTGAGCAATGTTAGATCAAACCAGGGACTGAGCACTGGCAAAATGGTCTCAGGAGATCAGGGCAGGCTGCTTCCTCCATGGCTGATGTAACTGACCCCTCTGTGCTGCACTCGAGGAGTGTCCTTCTGTATCCCCTGTGGTCCTGGCACCCTGTGTTATGGAGCAGCTTGGATGAGGACTACAGGCACAATGAGTTATGTGCTGTGGGAGCACAAAAGCATCACATGGAGCAGCATGTCACTTGAGCAGCCTGCGATGTGAGAAGGCTGGGTGAGAGCCAGGAGCTGTCTGCTTTGTGCTGGGTGTACTAAATGCTCGTGGCCTGTTCTCAGGTCTCACCTTCTCGTAGCTTCTAGTTTCAAGGGTGCAGAAGTCTTTATCAGGCATTTCAAGTTACTGGCTTTGTGAACTTTATAAAACTTGTGTAGGTTGATGCTGTGCACCCCAGCTGCTTCCTGGTTCAGGCAGCAGCATTGCTATGTGACTGTAATTTGCTGCTTGCTTTGATAACAGTACAAGGCACTGAACCTGAGCTTCATTTAGAGCACAGTTGTATTGTGGTTAGTACTTCTGAAGTTCATGCTAAGCAAGCTGTGGAATCATACAGCTGTGCTTGGCTGCGTTACAGTCGCTACACGTTTAACAGCTTGGGAGTTGCTTTGTGCTTGGTGGGTTTGCCTTCTCACTTGGCTGAAAAGGGGCTTTCTGCTGAGGTGGTGCTCAGCCTGATCTCATTGCCCTGCAGTGGGATGCCAGCTCTGTGCTGGAGCTGCAGGATTCTGCTTTGAAGTGTCAGGCAGCTGTCTGGGCTGAAAGTGGGACTTTGGGATTCTAGAAAGACAGTTTTCTTCTGAAAGCAGCGTTGCTTTGAGGTGTAAATTGGCTCTTCCTTGCAGCTCTTAGTTCTGCTCTTTTTGAAAGCAGGTTGGCTACACCTTTTGTCAACAGGAGGAGTCATAGGAATGTAGCTTGCCCTTACAGATATGCTAGCAGCTAAGAGAAAATGCAAGCAGTTTGAATAGAGACTGGCTGAAAGCAGAGCAGGTGGCAGCTTTAGAACAATGCAAGAGGAGAGAAAGCTGGATGTGCTACAAATGAGTCAAGGCTTCGTTGGCCAGAGGAAGCCAGGGGGTTTGATGCCTTCTGTATTTCTATGGGCATACAAATTGCTATACAGAATATGAATGCTAAGGGTTATTAGCATAGATTTGGCAAAGCTGCTCTTACACAGTAGTAACAATATGGCAGCATGCTGTGCTGCAGAGCCCTGAAGCTTGGCAGATCTCAGGAAGTGCAGTTCAACCAAAGGTCTGAACAAGGTGAAGGTGAGCTCAGTGTTTGGGAGGCAGTTCCACGTTCTGGGGGCTGAGAAGGTGTTCAAGTTCCAACGTTGCTCAGCCAGCTTACAAATTCCCCTATGGGAAATAGAGGCTAGAAGGGTGTAACTGTCCTGCTTTGCATGTGCTGTCGGTGTCTTTTTTTTCAGACACAGCTTCCTGCTTAGAAAGTGCACTGCACCAATTAAACTTAGTAACAAAGCAAACCATTACGTGCTGTTTCACATTCC